TAAATAAAGTCACAGAAGAGCTTTTTGTACTCCCTCCATATGAGAATACTGCACAGCTGGAACGGCCTGGCTAGCTTGCTACAGTGCCCACTGACCAGAATTTTCCTGCCATTACCTGAAAAAGCCATAAATGAGCAATAGAGGCCATATAATCATAGAGTCCTGGTGGAATGGAAATGAATACATGGTAAATCTCCAAAATATAATCTTGAAATGTAACCATGAGCAAAGTCACAGCTTTATTTTGCCACTTGGAAGAAAGAAAACAAGCCTGAAGAGTCCATACAGATGAAAACAAAACACAAATGCTACTGTCACCATGTCTACTGTACAGAAATAGTAGGAGGCAGGTTATAGCAGGTACTGAATTATAGTTATTACAAGTATGCAGCAGTGCTGTCTAAACAAATAGGTCGTTATAAGAAACATGGGCAATTTTTTGAAAATCAGAAGACACATATGCACTGTCAGACATGCTACAGTGTATTATGAGTTAAGTGATTATTCACAGGTAGTCTGTTTATAAATAAAGCCCGCTCATCACTACTTTAAAGGTTAACTTAAAATCTGCAGTTCAGCTTTATTACACATGTGGACTGCACAGTTTCTGTTCTTAGGCCTGATCTCCAGCCTGTTTAGCAGCTTTAGTGGATTAAGTTTGTCACTTGACATGTAGAAAATATTTGTCCTGGCATTGTAAGTGTATAGACAGGCTGATCCTGATCACCCTGCCGAAAGAGTCACTACAAAATCCTTTTAACCTTGTGACCTTGTGTTACCTACACAAACACATCCCACATCTGCAGTAGATTTTTTAAGAATGTAGTTGAACAAATGGATTAGTCAATTTCTAATTTCTTCTCCATAAATGCAAACAAAAAGAGATAATCTCGCTCACGCAAAACATTTTTTTTTTCGTTCTACTGAATAAATTAGCAACATAAAAAATGATTTAAATGTCAATGTCAGTCCATTTAATACTAATGGCATAACAATTTCAATACATTATCAAAAAATGAATTAAATTTAAAACTGTATCATTGATATAAACCCCGGTTTCTTCCAAGGGTCTGTCATTTGCCATCATTTGTGGAAATGACTGTCAGTGATCAAAACTATGCATTTGGGTGCGTCCTATCAGAGAAAGGGAGGCAGGGAGGGGGAGTGGCTTGCATGCGTCCATGCTGGGTATGTATCAATGACGTGGAACAAAGCCCACTCTTCTCCAATGCAGCGCTACTCAATCAAAGGTAACTAATGTAGCACAGCTAGCTAACACACGTCATTTAAAAATGACTTAACTGTTAAGTTACACTGCACACATTTACACTAGCTACTTTATTCTAAGTAGGTTATTCAGTATGGTATTGGACTTGGTATGGGTGAGCACTAAAAATGTGTACTCATGCTTTTATTCTATAGCCATTTATAAATTCAAGTGGTTGTGATGTTTGGGACTTACTTTGTTATCAAATTCAAACAAAATCTTGACCTCAGATTTGAAAAACATATCAAACCTGAAAATATGTTTAAAGTTACACCCCTATTAAAATACTGGTTTTTGATTCATCTAACTATCTTTAAGCCACCTGATCTTATTTAATTGGCTCAGATTAATACTGGCACAGCAAAGAGAATAGTTTCCTCTGGCCATTTTCTATCTGGGCCAAAAACATCTTTCAGTGAACCATGAATCAGTTTAAGCTACAGTGGTGATGCATATCGTTGTTGGAACAAAACCCTGTATTTCAATTTTTTATGTTTTTTGTTCTTTTTATTTGTTTATGAAATTTGAAAATTACAGCTGTTCATTACGATGTGTTCACATTTTATGATGACTGGCCCAACAAAAAAATGTTTCCTTCTCCTGTAAAGTTATGATTCTTGTAAAATAAAAAAGTATAAAAAAGTATTGTTAGAAATTGATCTTTAACTTGCCATGTACCTCTGTGAATTAATTTACACATTGTACAACATGATAAAGATCTACATAACATCATGTTAAGTCAATAGGCTACTTGACGCATGTTTGAACATTAATGCCTTTAGGGCAAAACATATAGCACTACCTGAAGTGAGAACGGGTGCAAAGCTGTGGTACTAAAGCAGCCACCCACATGTTGTCATGGTTCACTGGAGTTTATGAACACAAAGACAATGTCAACATCTGAATCTTCTTCACTGCCTTTAACAAACAGGACTTCCTCACTCCTATAACTCTGCCTTTTAGCATGGCTATTTGTGTAGTTACTGAATAGTAAGTCTTAGGATATGATAGGCCAAGGAATTTAAACAGTTAACCAGTTAACCACCTAACCTGACTATGTTAGAAATTCACATGAATGCATGATAGACTTATTAAACCCACTCAGTGACTTGCTTAGGGGTATAAACATCAACCCATATATGCATGCAGTAGGCTATATTGTGTTCTGGTATTTTAAAAGCATATTCTCTACCACCCCAACCTTAGCAGTAATAAATGGGCAGCATTTCTATTCCTGAACTTTATATCATCCATGACAAAGTCAGACCACATGAATTTGACAGATGTGAACACTGACCTACATTTTAGGCACCAATGATGTGTTTCCAGACTTCTATCTAGTGTAATCTTGTCCTGATCCCTCTCCCTCTCTCTTTAAGAAGCCACATACACACTAATACAGACACCCTCAGTTGCTCATGTGCAGAAACTAGCCTGTACTTTAACTCACGCAGGTGGCGAAGCACTCTCACTCGCCTTGAGGCAAGTTTAACAGAAAATGCATGACATGACATGTTCTGAATAGCACTGAATTACAGCACAGCGATCAACTCAGGAGAAAAACTGCACGCTACAGCTTTCTCCGCCAACGGCACATAAGGAAGGGTGGAGACACACTTCAGCACATGGAAGGCTTTCATTCACGTACACGCACAAACACTTACACCACGTGCTGAACTGACAGCAGCTCATGTGATAGGGTTTTCCCATTCAGCTAAGAGCACCGCTAACAGTCACACAAAACCGAGAATGCAGCCGCATGCATTCTTAAGCAGGAGCGCAGCAATAAAAGTGCTCAGTGCTCTATTACAAACCCATGTGTTTCCCATCCCTGTGCCTTAATAAGAGCCATCCTCTGTTTATCACATTAAAAGCTTTCCCTATTGCTCTTCTTCACAACTTCTTTCTTACTACTTCTTTCAAAGCCAGATGGCCAATGTGCACTGAAAATGACCCTGACTATTAATGGCTTGCATTGTTTTTTTTTTGAGGAAAACAATTTGCATGAGTAAATACTTGTGACAACAGCAATAACTAAAAACAAGTATGCTTCATAAAAACTCCTGTAGCAGCTAAAACTGCTGTGCACACTGTCTTCATACAAATCCCTGGAAAACAGACTGAAGAAATATGTGCAGCAGGAATAATATTAGTTTTTTAGTTACTAGGTATGCAAATTTTGGCAAGTTCTTTTGACCAATAACCAATCAGCAATTAACCGTTAATTGTCAAGGACATGACTCATCCATCCATCCATCCATCATCTAAACCGCTTATCCTTCTGGGTCGCGGTGGGGTGCTGGAGCCTATCCCAGCTGTCATTGGGCGGAAGGCAGGATACACCCTGGACAGGTCGCCAGTCCATCGCAGGGCACATGACTCATCAAAATATCAATTATAATTCAGATCCATTTCTAAAATCTTAATAGGCCACATTCAAAGTCACAGACATCAACTGAATTCTGAATGCACTGAGATTTTTAAAAAAGGGCTGGGCAATATGACATATGACAATATCTGCATAATATGTTACAATATGCTTTTCTGATCATATTATGGATATCATCAGTACTTAACACCAACCAAGCTGCACATTTGATTAAAAAGAGAGAATAATTAGCTCTGGTTAATTGACTTTAGGTCAGTGCAGAATGTTTCTTCTTATATTTATTTTTAGCACTACTTTATCTGTTCCAACTCAGAGGTCAGTAAAATACATATTGTGACATTTTGTGTATTGTGAAACTTTGTGAACAAAACTTTGTTACCTTTTTCGCCATATCACCCACCTCTATTAAAAAGTGTTTCTTTTATGGATCATGAAGTGTAGTAGTGATAGGTGGGCTCAGGTAAAAGTGCATATATGAGGTAAACAGCCCAAAACTGTATCAAACATTATATATAAGAGCATAGTTTTGTTTAAACCCAGAGGCTGACAACTATAATATGCTATAAAGAGTTCATGAAATGTCTGCAATATATAAAGATGGGCTACAGAAAAGTTCCAAAATTTTACAAACTCATTACTAGCCCAAATTAAAAAGAACACAAAGGTCATGATGGGGCTAGCTCTGGCGCTATGTATCTAGTAGTTTGCAAAAGCCGTCACCATCCACTACGTCTTTCTCAAACCAGTATGTGATTTCTTTTGCGGATATTTGCTGTATATCACTGTGGTTGTGCTATTGTCCTCTCAGAAAGTGGTCCCGAACACCACCTTTTATAGCTGCGTACTTCATTTTTTAGTAGGCCTATCTAGCAGAACCAGCTGCAGAACCAAAACTGTTCGTCAACTTCAGTGATAAACACATCAAACTCACTTCAAATAGAAATAAAATAAACTAAAATAAAATACAATTAATGTTAACATTTTTAACCACTAGCATTGCCCAAACAATTGCTCTTTTGTCAGTTAAGCGTTAATCATTTACATCCCTAATAGTTACTGTTACAAATATTTACATGTGTCCCATTGTTTTCCTCAAAATAAACTTTCCTAGCGCAATCTCTTATTGCAAATAGAAAAAAAACATGCTCCTTTGTTGGACATTTTCTTGAAAAGTTACAAGCTTTCAAAATATTTGATGGACAATGTATGAGTATGGATGGAATAGGTGTAACCTTTATCACAACAAGGCAAGGCTGATGCAGTAGTGCAATTCAAAACAAGAGTTTCAGTTTCACTATCAGGGAGGAACAGAAACAGTGGTCAAAGTGCAGTCAGGTGGCCTACCTCTCCGGCTGTGATCTGCAAGGGTCTTCTCTTCAACTCCACACACTTCCTGAGCTTACAGATCTGATGGCCAGTCTTTCGGTTCAAGCAGCAGCTGCACTGCCCACAGTTGATCTTGAGGAGGCAAGGCCCGCAGGCCCCGCATCTACTCCTTTTCTTCCTCTCTCTTCTCTCCTGAGCTTGCAGTAAGCGCTGTCGTATGTCTGCCTCCAGCAGCGGAGAAGCACCAGTGGCCCTGTGCTCCAGAGCCAGCTCTAAACTTCCTGCTTCCGACTCTGTATCAAATGAGAACTGGGTGCTATCTGTACTGCTGGACACTTTGCTGTCGAAAGAGCAAGCTGTTTGAGGCCCAGTGTCCAGAGAGCCGCTGTAAATACCTGCGCTCAATGACAGAAGCGATAATGCTCCTTCGTTCTTGCTTGACAACTCATCTCCATCATCATCTTTGGTCTTCACGGCTGTGGTGCTGTCAGCCTCTCTGTCCTCTACCTGGTTAGCATCTGTGGGGTTCTGAAGTGCTGGTGATTCTTTGGGAATTTCACATATGGAAGATGCTGCAGACAAATCTGGTTGAGAAGAGTCTTCTAGGGCGCTTTGAGAAGCAACGTCACATGACTGTGAGAGAGAAAGTTCTGTTGGGCCTGAGGTATCAAGTGTACAAACAGAGTCGGCTTCAGCGGCTGGGTCATGCACTTTGGCGAACAAATCATCTGACTCATCAGTTGTGCTTGGCTTCTCCATGTTTTCAAGGGGCACAGGGCTGTTTTCACTTTGTACCATTTCTGCAGTGACCTCAAACTTCTCCTCCTCCACTGTAGCAGTCTCGTTAACAAGTGGTTCTCCATGCTCCTCATCTGCTTTGTTTTCAGAGCTTAAGTTGACAGGTAGAGCCTCTACATTGGTAACAGGTGTCTCGCTTTGTTGGTCATCAGCATCACCATCATCACTATGTTCTATAGGTTCTATGATCCTCTGAGTATCCTGTTCCCTTGTCTGCTGGCCTCTCTCTCTGCTTTTGGCCACCCTCCTAGAAGGCTTCACTTCTTGTAGGCCACTCTGCGACAACGGACTGCCCCGGAAGGACCTCCTCCTGCCCCTGAGGTCTGCAGCTGGGCCATGTTGTGTCAGAGAGCTGCGTGTTTGTCTGAGTTCGATAGATCCTGTTAAGTCAGATGTATTCTTGGTTCTGCTTGCTCTTTCCTGGGTGGCTTTCTTGGCAGGCCTGCTAACGGCACTTGCCTGGACCCTCTTGGTTGCCGGTTTCTTTCCTGTGGACTTCCTGGTCTTCACTTGCCTTGTACGTGTTGTTGGACCCTTGGGTTTGCTTGAATTTGCTGCTCGCCTTCTATCAGTGGAGGATTTTAGTTTCCTAACATTTCGCTTTCCTGGAGGCTGGACCTTCTTTAACGGTTTGGGAGGATGAGGCATAGCTAAGTTTGATGAGGGTAAGAGGGTTGAGAGACAGGCCAGCAGACATGGGAAATGGACTAATTCTCAGAGTGAATATATTTAAAATATGGCACTTGGGATTCCTTTCCCATCATCAGACCCAGTATAAACAAGTTAGCATTTCATTGTGGCCTCCACAGGGGCATGCCTGCAAAAAATGAAACATATTATGATCAACCTATTCATCACCACTAAACATGAAGCTTAAGTAGTACATCAAGTTAAAATAGTAATGGCCTATCACACTCATCATATTTTTGCACAAACTGTAATTATGCACAGTACTGAAGTGTTAAGGTTCACATGATTTGTGCAGTTGTTTCGCTGCTGTTAGTTACAGTGTACTTTGGTAGTAGTAACACATTAGTTACAGTGTAATTAACAGGCAACACGGTCAATAAAATGTAGAAAGTTAAAATGCAGGACTAGTATTGTTAAGAATAACACATTTTAGTCCTTAACGCCTTTGCTCATTTCCCCAACAGAGTAATAGCGACTTTAAGCCTAAAAAAGGAACGGCTGCACTTTTCAACAGTGCTGCTTTAAACATTGCGCCTTATTGTGGCAGAATTCACTGACCACGAAGGGCTTGAACAAAGTTTTAAATATTCGGCTAAATACCGAAACAGATATTGGACATACAGCCAGCAAAGGCTACGAGTGCTTTCCTTACAGCTGACAAGCGCTTAACATAGCTGTGAAGTCGTAGCAAGTCTATTAGCACATTCTCACTGTAACTTGGCTAAATTAGCTTTAGCTAGCTTAGCCGGACTACTTCAAGTTTCCTCGCTGCTGCTGCTGCTGCTCGTTTGATCCGTTATCGTGCTACAAGCTCACAGCCGCGTCTGGAAACAGCACTTTTTAGTTTTGGATTGAAACCGACACAGCAGATAACTACACAACTGCACCGAGGAAAGATGCAAGTCACCAAGATAAAGATAATCCTGTGTTGGTGTGTTACACTGGCGTGTACACTTTTAAGGGAGTTCAAATACTTCACATACCGGACACAGTTGAACTGCTTGCACTGCTAACTAACTAATAATACTCCACGCCTGCGAGAGACGGCTGATCCTCCTGCATTTTCCTTTGGCGAATTTGGTAAGTTGGTCGAGCCACCATAAGTTCAGCAGGACGACGGAACAGCGGGACGACACGCAGTCTTTATAGTGTAGCTAACACTTAATAACATGTTGCCCCGGAGTAAAACAGCACTTCAACCCGTAAATCCAGGCACCACAGCCCCTTCTCCCAAACATGACCTACGCTCTCCGCTCACATCGGTTATTTAATGGACGTCCGCGGGCTGACAGGAAAACGTGGAGTGGAGTACATGCTGACAGCGCACAGTCAGTCAGGACTTCAGTACTAGAGACATAGCCTGTAATAACAACGACCACGACATCACCAGTAATAATAATAATAACAACAACAATAATAATAACAATAATAACAACAACAATAATAGTAATAATATGGTTATTATAAAGGTTATTATTATTGTTGTTGCTGTTGTTCTTGCTGTTATTGTTATAGTTATTTTTATTATCGTTGTAATAATAATAATAATAATAATAATAATGTTGTTGCTGTGTTGTTGTTGTTGTTGTTTTGTGGTGCTATAGTTATTATTATTACTGTTACTACTACTGCTGCACATGTGAATTATATGAATAGTAGAAAAATATAAACACATACAGTGGACATCTCCATACATCTCCAATAACACAATAGCACTTTCAGACACTAATCAGTTTAGATCTTGTTTAAATTTCAAATTATTGTTTAATAATTTTTTTGTTTTATTTATTTCTTTTTCTGCAGCTTCTTCAGTGCTTTGTGATGGCAGATTAAACACAGACGTATCTTTACATACTCTTGAATAACTTTATAAGAGAGCACAATCATGGCAATTGAAAAAACACATACTGTGACGACAAACATTCCAATCATCTGAAAATCAAAACAAAACAAGGAACCTCCAGGGATCTGGTAAATGTTAGCACTGATGATAACCAGGAAAAGACTGGGCATAAATAGCGTTTATGGAAAGGGAAGGCAAGAGAACCCCATTTCCCTCCAAAATGACCATTTGCTACATTCCTTAGATTTAAAAACAGCCCTTCAATGACTTACAGAACATCTGGTAGCATGACCTTGAGTAACTGAGATCAAAGCTCAGCTGTCTGACTGTAATGGAGAAAGAAATATTTGGCAAAAACATATTGTTGTGTGTGAACCTGAACCACATAAACCTCATACCAACTGTTAAAAATTAAAGTCAGTTCAACTTTAAATAGTAAGGTAACTGATTACACTGCCTTTCTTGAGTTAACTTAGCTTGAGGACACTAGTTCTTCACCCAGCTCACACTTCTTAGTTTAGTCAAGGTTCTCCTAACTCACAGTTTTGAATATGAGCATCTCAGTAAGGTAAACAATATAGATTTTACTCAGTTTACTCACTACTTGGGACTCCTTCCAGGCCAAAGTGCTGCAGATATTAGGGTTTACCCTCATCTAATGCTTTAAATTCAGTTCATGAAGACCATGCTTATTAGCTGATGAGCTGAATCAGGTGTGTTTAATGAGGCAGTACGCTAAAGTCTGTAGTGTTTTGGCCTGCAAGGACTAGAGTTTAACACATGTGCATCAGACAGTCCCACCAGGTGTTTTCTCCTCTTGGGGTCCCAGTTATGGATGGCTGTGGCATCACTCGGATTCAAACTCTTGCTTAGTTGCCCCACTCAGGAGCACCAGACGTTACTTTGATATCTGTGTCAAACGTTTACTTCACGGTAAACCCAATAGCAGGAGACTGTGAGTTGGAACCCCAGTGATCCACAGCTGTCCGTATCTAAGTTAAGTTAAATTAAGTTACCCTTATTAGTCCCACAACAGGGAAATTTCACCTCCACATTTTAACCCATCCACGCAGTGAAACACCACATACACACTATGGGCAGTCCTATCCACAGTGCCCTGGGTGCAGTTGGGGTTAGGTGCCTCAATCAAGGGCATTTCAGTCACATACTGTCGGCTCAGGGGATCAAACCGGTGACCATCCGGTCACAAGGCTGGTAAAGGAGCTGCAAGCCCAAAAGGAGAAAATGCCTGGTGGGACTGTGTGATGGAAAGAGTCTCAGGTAGTGGAGAAACTGAGTACAAACAAGTTCTATATTGTTTACTTAACTAGGAAACTGGAAGTAAAAATTAAGAGAACTTTTAACAAAACTATGAAGTGTGATATGGGTGAACTCTAGTGTCCATAAGAGTGTAATCAGTTACTTTATCATTTAAGTTATGCAGACTTCTTATTTTTTACAGTGCATGAAACAGGATAGAGAGAAGAAGATCCAAGTCATTTGACTTCTCTGAACCTGCATGTTTTTAGAAGCATTAGAGGAGAATGTGAGATCGTCTCTCCAAGTGTTAATACTGAGCTGTAATGGGATCATGTAGGAGAAGGATAATGATGCAAAAAAGAAATCTTCAAATGAAGAGCTGAAAAAAGGAAAGAATCAGGGTTCTGTGATGGCTGAGTCAAAGTCTAGACTCAACTGAGATGCAGATGAGAATTAAAGCAGCTTAGCATAAAAGAAGACACACTGATCTGAAGTTTTTAAGATTCATAAACGCTTACAGGAAACTTTCTTTTTTGCAAATTCTTATAGGAAACATTATTATAGAAAACATTTCACAATTTATTTAGTCATTTGGCAGTACTTCTTTAATCTAGAGCATGGCATCTGGGTAGACTCTTTGGTTTAATAAATAATTAAAATGGAAGCTGTAACTTGGTTAGGGAAACATAAAAGTAAAATATGCTGTAATATTAAACTATTCTTAAGAAAGTTAATGGTGCTTTCTTCTTCACATGACAGTCCATCCATGCTCATGATGTGCTGGAACATACAGACTCCTGAAAAAAAGCATCTCTTTTGAGATTAATGTAGAAAAATTTTATAAAAGATGAAAAATCTGTCCTATAATGAGGAATAGCCCTGAGGAACATACATTTCTCTGCCCAATGTGAGGTTTTAGAACTCTAGTTTTAGAGTTCTAATAATTAATTGACATCAAATTAAAACATACATGAATAGAAAAGGGATGTATTGTATGATACAAGTCATTTTAAAGTTTTGTAGATGAAGATATGGATTTTAGCTTTATATAAATTGGATAAACTATAATTAACTATGTATGTGTTCATGAAATAAATTCACTTCAAAAGTCAGACATTGTGAGAAAACAAATCGTTTTTAGCAGGCTAGTTATTCTCTAAAATGTCTGTTTATTCTATATACTTGCATCAAAAGGTGAACTAGCCTGATGACATTTGTAATTTCTCAGATCTGAGCTGAAGTCTGAAATGTAGATTGATTTTCTCTTTAGAGGAGATTCTCCTGGGCTTTATATGGATATGTGTATATACCAATTTACCAAAATATCTACCTGTAGTTTTGTGTTTTCCCTGCAATTTTCTCCTGCAATATTGTTTAAGATGGTTTACAGACACTATTAGACAGAACAACTTACAATTTACATTTACACATGTAGGCAAAGGTAGTGTTAGGAGTCAGCAGTGTAGAATGCGTGCCCTAGCAAAGGGATCAAACCCCAGTCTCTAGCGTGGAGAGGTGTCACCCACTGTACTATATCAGCAACACATTTTATCATCTACAGACAACAACAGCAAAATAAAACACAAATAAAATGATGTAATACAATTTGACTACTGTTTTTAGGGCCATCACCTTTCAGTGAGCTGTAGCTCACACTGTTACATTTCAGTGTTACATTTCAGAAGAAATTCCACTTTGGGAGACAGGTTTCTTACTTGATATTGTTCAAATATATTAGTTTATGACTTGACCATACATAAATTATATTGTGTTATACTACAGTGTTCCGCTATTGGTTCATTCGGGTGCCAGTGAACCACAACCAGTGAACCTACATATCTACAGGCTAACAGGTAGCTATTAGCCTTCATTTATTTTTAGCCACAAAAGTACTTTTTTTCCAGATAATTGGTTAAATAGTTTTTTTTTCCTTCAGTCTTGTTTATTATAGCAAACAGATATGATACAGAGTGTGATAATATTATGTGTAATGCAGTACAATAACATAACAAAAGAGAAATAAAGCAACAATTTAAATACAGTAAATAAGAAATATCAATAGTACTGCAATCAGTATTATCAACATTAATACCAAAGGTGACACAAAGGTTGAGAAAGACAGTCCCATTCACCATAACCTACTCCATTTCAACACTGTAGCACATCCCTAATAGCCGGTTTAGTGTAATCCAAGAACTCGCCCCAAACTTGATACAATTTCTTAATCTTTTTATTATCTAAATAAACTAATCTTTCAAGGGGGAGGATATTATATATTGTTTTACACCACTGAGTTACACTAGGTTGTGTAGACGAAGTCCAACTGACCAGGATGCATTTTCTTGCAACAGCGAGGAGACCTCTAATCAATAAAGCTTGATAAGCAGAGGGTCTATTAAATGACGCTCCTAGAACTAGGAATAAGGGGTCAAAAGGCACAGATACATATGAAAACTGCTTGATTTCAGAGCAGATCCAACCCCAGAACTTATTAATATATGTACAAGTCCACATGTAATGCAAGAGAGTGCCCTTGTTTGTTTGACATTTAGTACATAAATCTGATCTGGTTGGGTCCAATTTTTTAAATTTCTCAGGGGTGAACCTACACGTCTTTAAAGTTTAGCCTATGACAAAGGTATAATGGTGGTATTTCTGTGAAAAGTTTTCTTTGAGGACTATTTTGCCTTACAATGCCGTTTGTTTACATCTTGCAGACATTATTATAGTATTGTAGAAATTTAGAAAAATCGGTGGACCTCTCCTTTAAAAAATGACTTGGTGCTGCGTAGCTCATTTGACAGCCGTTATCGCTGATGACGCAGTAAGTATGCGACAGAAAAAGTAGCCATGAAGGGCACTGCGGATGGCTCTGCGTTGAAACCAACACACACGTGTGGAGTGTAGATCTGAAGTCCGCAACTTCCCGAGTAAGTAAACCCTCCACATCTGTACGACTCAACACTCAGACACATGATGTCCTGCTAGACTTTAGTTCGTCACCCGGCTGTGTTCATTCGGTAGCTTCCTCGCTAATCACTGTGTTTACTGTGGAGTGAAGCAGATCTCACTGTTTACACACAGACCTGCGGGCATTTCACTCGTTATCGACTGAGTGTGATCCGGAAAAGAAAGCTACTCGTGTCGAAAGCCCATACGGCGGTACAAAGGTTAACTGATATTGCATTACTCCCCTGATCTCTGCGGCGTTTTGGCCTGTAGTCCACGGTCTGTGTGGTCTATGTAGTCTGTGTGTCCTGGACAGGTGGAAGGGTTGGAGGGGTTGTCTGTCTGTAGCCCCGACCTCAGATGGCTTTTGACCTTGTTATCGGGTAGGACGGCTGCTTTTCGTGCTTCTGTGTGCTTTCTGGTAATAGAGTATTTGTTACTGAGTAGCAAAAGATCGCGAAATCTTGTGTTGTTGATATTATCAGTTTAGCGTTGCATAAGCTCCCAGCAATGAACCTAAACTGGTTTACTGAGTCAGTTGCAAAACATCTGTTAGCTGTCTGTCTAGCTTGTAAAATCAGACAATTTCACATTGATCAGCTGTTTAACTATTTAATTGATACTTTAAGGCGCTCTCATTGCTGACACGGGCGCTCATGCCGATTGTGCAATCGCTATAGAAAATCAATCACCAGTACAGTTGTTCTGGATCAGCCTAAGGTCACCATGAACAATGTCAGTCGTCAGCTAGGTAAGTTAGAGGAGTATTAATACCCCCAACATTGGGCTGTGGAACAGTGGAACCGTGTTCTGTGGAGTGATTGTGCAACATCCGATATGTCAGTTCAGTCTGTGATCCAGAACTAATCATCTAACGTCAGCTCGCTAATGCTGTTGTGGCTCAGTGCAATCAAATCCTCACAGCAATGTTCCAACATCTAGTGTAAAGCTTCCCCAGATTAGTAGAGGCTTAAAGGGAGGCTTAAAATTCTCCATCAATACCTTTGACAAGTGTTGGGTGAGCAGACGTCTACATACCTTTGGACATATAGTCGTGAAAAAACTGACACTGCAGGAAAACCTTTTTTCTTTTTTAAGATATTTGAACATCTGGACATTTGATCCTCATTTTAACAATATTGAGAGATGGAGGTAATATAACTAAACAAATAACACCTGAAGAAATGTCCTTAAAAAATCATTTGTAAAATGCTATTAATAGAAATGCAAGGAAAAACTCAGGACACCCCCACATTTATTACTACTTAAAATGCCAAATTTAGAATAAGGTGCATCACATCTGCTGCAAATGATTAGAATGTTGTTAGAGAGGATTTGGTGGAGCCTATTTTATTTAAACCTCAGACATATAATTTGGTTTGCTCTTGATTGTTGAAGTGAATGATATATCACCATGGCGAGATCCAAAGAGCTCTCTGAGACCTTCAGAAAGTAGGTCGTCAATGTTTATGAGTTTGGGAAAGGATTTAAAAAAATCTCAGAACAATTAGAAATCAGTCAGTCCACTGTCTGGAAAATAATTTACAAGTGGAGAACATTTAAAACAACTGCCAACACAGCCACGTCAGGCCATCCTAGCAAGTTCAGCCAAAGAGCAGACCGCAAGATGCCTAAAGAAGTCTTCACCAATCCTAAAATGTAACCATGATTTGCTCTTGCCACAGCTGATGTCAAAGTACATGCATCTAAATCAGAAAGAGACTTGCCAAGTTTAATATTCATGGCAGGTGTGCAAGGAGGAAACCCTTGCTGTCAAAAAAGACATCAGGCCAAGACTGAAGTTTGCCTTCTGGAACAATGTGCTTTAGACAGATGAATCCAAAGTTGAATTATTTGGGCTCAGTAACAGAAGACGTGTTTGGCGCAAACCAAACACAGCATTTGAGCACAAGAACCTCATACCAGCTGTGAAGCATGGAGGTGGAAATGTCATGGTTTGGGGCTGCTTTGCTAGAGACGGGCCTGGCAAGCTCTTCATCATAGAATCCACAGTGAATTCTTTATTGTATCAGAGGGTGCTTGAGGAAAACGTGAGGCCTTCTGTCTAAAAAAAACTGAAGCTCAAGCTAAGGTGGACCATGCAACATGACAATGAGCCAAAACAGACTAGGAAATCCTCCAAGCTCTGGAATGGCCAAGTCAAAGCCCAAATCTAAATTCTATTGAGATGCTGTGGGGTTATTTGAAATGGGCTGTGCATGCAAGTACCTAAACATCACACAGCTGAAAGAATTCTGCATATAGGAAAATTGTTCTTCCAGTTGATGTCAAAGGCTAGTAGATGGTTTTAGGAAACATCCTAAATTAAGGTTATTTTAGCCAAAGGGAGCAATACCAGCTATTAGGGCATAGGTGTTCTAACTTTTAGGAGCTGGCATCTTTTTTTCTTTTTTTGTTAAATAAATGATGAAGTCAGATTTTCTTTGTTTTTGCAAAGATGATGTAATTACATCACGTTTATCTGTAGATATTGTTTGAAAGATGATAAAATATCGATATGTCCGTGTTTCCTAATAAAGAACTATTTAAATATTTAATGGGGTGTTCTAATTTTTTCACAACTGTATAATGTACTTCAGGGCAATCCCGAAGATCAGACTTGAAATATCTTACAAGTGAGCATTTGTTGGTTTATCAGGGTCTAATGTAAAGTAATTTAAGCTTGTTGTTTATTGACTGTTCATCCCCTTTGTTGCTTTGCATGATGTCTTTTGTACAAAGCTGTTAAAATGTTGTTTTGGTGTTTCAGAGTGCTCTGAAGACATGGCTGCACTGGAGTCCTGATACAGGCAGCATGGCAATAGAGGCGTCGGTGTCCTCAGCTGGTCAGCCTCAGGTTCCAGGTCCTGCTCAGAGGGACTACTACTACTGGTTTCGCTCTTTCGTAGCAGGAGGTAAAGTCTGTCATTGCATCTTCTTGATGAATAAATGTTGTGAATGAGCTTAGTTTGTGTATCCGGTGATATATTGACAAACCCTCTTTTACTGTGTCAGCATGCAGTGCTGAGAGATAGCTCTGTGGGTCTAAGAGCTCTGTTTGCTCGTAATTTTGCATGCACTTTGCGTGCAGTGTGTGCTGAGTGTCAATGTAAATGGTTATGAATATAGTAGTATTTGAATGCAAACAAGTGAGCTCTGTTTTCTGTTTTTTTGTTTTTTTTTACATAAAGACTAGCTTATGATTTAAAACAACACTAACAATTTTTTTATTATTAAAAATATTCTAGACTGTGATATGCTGTTTGAGTCTGATGAAAAAGAAATTTTAACTTTAGTGCTTCATTTGGAGTAAGGGTACCTAAACTGTTAACCTCTTCTTACGGTTTTTGAGTTGAATAGGACTTTTTCTGTGGTTTGTTTGTGCCTTAACTGTGACATGAATTACATACAGCTGTTGCCTTAATATGCATGTTACAGAAACCTGCTCTTCGTCTTTTACTGACCTCCTGACCCAGTTTAGCCATTAAAGATTAGTCATGCTTTAGATAAGATGATATATCGATATATCACTCTGTTTGTTTGTGTAGGTGTAGCAGGATGCTGTGCCAAGACCACCATTGCGCCTCTGGACAGAGTGAAAATTCTGCTCCAAGCCCACAATCCTCATTACAAACACTTAGGTAAGCCAAATCAAATGGTTCTCGCGTTGAATGGTTCAAGGAAAAAAGCTTTAATTGGTATAGAACCTTTACATCCAAAGAACCTTTTTTCTTCCATGTAGCACTGTTATGTTTAATATAAAACTAGGTGGAACTAGATGATTTTGTTTGTAATTTGTTTGTGTTTGAATAAACTCAATATGCCTATACTCTTTGTAGGTGTGGTTGCTACTCTCAGGGCTGTGCCAAAAAAAGAGGGCTTCCTCGGACTGTACAAAGGGAATGGAGCGATGATGGTCAGGATATTCCCTTATGGAGCCATTCAGTTTATGGCCTTTGACAATTATAAAAAAGTATGTCATTATTATTTTTTTTGTGTAATACAATTAGTTAACATAACGTACGGTGCAGCAGTCAGAGAATTTATTTAATTTTACATCAAAGTAACATCAAAATGAAGTACAAGTTATTCTTTTTCAGCATATTTCCTATAATTTTCTTAAAATCTGCAAATATAAGGGGTTCTTGACAGCTACATATCCTTTTAGACCCATAGTGTTGAGTTGTCTTCTCACAGTGGAAGGATGGACAGAAACACCTGTGGTTTTTTTCAGATCTGAAGCAAGAGTGGAGCTTGTTTTTTCTCCTCTCTCTCAAAGATGAAAGATGGTGACAGTTTTGGTGGTCTACTAGGTCTTGCATTTTTTTTTTTAATCTTTTAATAATTTTTTTGAACTCCAGTTTTAGAAACACCTGCTTTTTACCTTATTTTCTCTGACTTTTTCTGCACTGATTTTTTTCACAGTATTATTTGTAATATTACATGTCTTCTTGTCTTCCCTATGCTAGTTGGAAAACTACATGTAATAATTTTGATTTTAATTTGCACATATAGCTCCTCAGTACACAGCTTGGTATATCTGGGCACATTCATCGGCTCATGGCTGGATCTATGGCAGGTGTGTAATCTTCCCCATCCACTTAAACAGATGAGATTTATTTTTATTTTCTTAGAATCTTAGCTCAATGAATGTCTATTTTTTTTAATGCTGGTGTTGAATTTGTTTCTTTGTGCCTACATTTCTACCTCAGGAATGACTGCAGTCATTTGCACTTATCCTCTTGACGTGGTTCGTGCTCGCCTGGCGTTTCAGGTGACGGGAGACCATCGCTACACTGGCATAGGAAACGCCTTCCAAACCATCTACTTGAAGGTATAAGGGGTTGGAGTGGGAAAAATGACAATGCTCATGATATTCTCTGATAGTCACATCATGGTAAATTATGTGATCAGTTATGATGTGCTTGTTGGAGTACATCATGGGTGTCATCAGTAGTTCTGAAACTCTTAACAGCTAGTAGCTGACTGGATCTCAATCATTTGTCAATATCTTAATTAATTAGTTCACTTTTACCAATTATTAGTTTTTTTTTCTTTTTAACATTAGTTTATTTAGTTTAATTTTCCAAACGCTGGATTAAAACATAAATATGACGTCTGTTTGGCTGGTGCATTTTGTTCAACTTGTTTGCAGATTTCAAAAAACATATTTCAGTGTTTATAGTTTTGCCATATCGCCCACTCTTTTAAGAGGGAGAGTTTGTGAATGAGAATTGCGAGTCTGTATCTCTTCCAGCTATGCTTTTTCTTTAAAGGAGGGTGGCATCTCTGGATTCTACCGTGGTCTAACTCCTACCATCATTGGCATGGCTCCCTATGCAGGTAAAGCTTTTCCGTGCGATTGTCACTTCGAATAGCTTAATTTTTAGTGTTTTTTGGTTTTATTGCTTCTGCACACTTGGTGATGCTGATGGCCTTTTCTTGGACAGAAGAAGTGAACCACTGTTCTTTTTCTTCTTCAGGATTTTCCTTTTTCACATTTGGTACTCTGAAGAGTCTGGGGCTGGCTCACTTCCCTGAGCTTCTTGGCAAGCCATCACTGGACAACCCTGATGTCCTGGTTCTGAAGACTCACGTCAACCTGTTGTGTGGGGGGATCGCTGGGGCCATTGCTCAGACTATATCGTGAGTTACAGTTGGAATGTTTTTACTTGGACGTTTCTTGCAATACTCCGTTTTTGAATCTCTGTTCCAGTTTATAGTTTGCAAGTAAGTAAGGGATTAACTTTTAGTATGCATAACAAGTTACTGTAGTTGTCAACCCAAAGCCTTTTTTTTCTGCTGCTATTTAAGGGCTCTATTTAAGGGGTTTTGTAATATATTATTCATTCAAAAGTATGACATTCTTTTACAAAGGTGTTTGTCTAGTATTTGTTTCTTGAATTTGAAAAATACCTGATCTTTTTGTTGTATGGCATTGTGCCACCAGAAGATTACAAACACTGTTGTTTTAAGCATTTCATAAGTTCCTACTTATCACATCTTATATCACACAGCCATCACAGTGAAGGACTGTCTGGAGGTTTCTGGTAATGACACTATAGAGCTAGATGTAGTACAGTATAGCAGCACATGGTTGGGGGTTGACTTTAACACTGAACTAAAACACTCATTTGTAACACTGTACAGTATAAATATAATACCTGTACATTTCGAAGTGTTACTGCTGCAGTATAATTCTTTCTCTTGTATCTCTGCCTTTTTTGGTTTAGATATCCTCTAGATGTTGCCCGGAGAAGAATGCAGTTAGGAGCAGTGCTCCCTGACTCGGATAAATGTCTGTAAGTGTCGTTTTTTGATTTAAGATGCCAAACATTGCCTGTGTGAGCTCTACGTCAGCATTAATGGGCTCTTACCTACGTTTAGTTTTCCCTCTGAGAGCCACTTATAACTTTTGTATGGCACCAAAATGGCTATAATTCTTTTTTATGTCCATCTTCCTCCTTTACAATTGAACATGCTGTTTTTGTTACTGTGTCTGATATACGATAAACAAGCTCTATTGTTATTGGCTGCCCAATATTGTGCCTTGATCAAAAAGCACTCAGGGCTGTAACATTCCTTAAAACTTCAGTGTGAAGAGGTGGAGCTAAACTGCTGTAAGCTGATTAAGTGGATCTATGTAAATAGTTTTTTTGTGACATTACTGAAGCAGTAAATTCAAAATGTGCTGTATTTGCAGCATGATTTCCATATATGGACTGTGTGGACTGGGCAGTGATCGGCATGTTTTGAAACGTGGACGCTGTTTAAATATTGTTTCGAGTTCCTTTATTTTAAAAGAATGAGGATACGAGCCCTTTAATGTTTAATTCATTCCTATATAGAATAACAGTTTCCAAATTGCTTTTCTTAATATTTCTTTTTGCTTAGACAATTTACTTAAACATTTTCTGCAGCATTTTTAAAATAATCAAATTTATAAGTACAATCACCACATCAGTTTATACTGTGCTGCAGATTATTTCACCTGCAAAAGGTTGCAACTGACTCAAAATATTCAATTCCTGCTTTAAAATGAAATAAATCCATATCTGATAATGTTCAATACCACCAAAATCAAATGACTCTTTATTATTGTTCAGCCAAAACTGCTAAGAAGAGTTTTAGTATAACATACGATCAAGAAAATAATTCTTTACCTCATTTCTCAGAAAGTTACTTACTGTTCAGTTAAACTTGAATTTTCTCTGTAGCCAACTAATCACAGTAACTGCACAAACAAACATGCTGAAAAAAATGGTGCTTAGAATATAAATGATTGCACACAAATGTGTTACATCAACACAGCCAAAAGTATTCTGGCCAAAAGTAAGTAAGCTGATAAACAGCAATAGTGTTGATACATTTTTTCCATGTACAGCTGTTTAGTCCATTTGAATTATAGAAAACTCAAAGCACCACTTTTTTCAGTTTCAACAGAAAATAATACAATAATATCATATAAAATTAGTAACTAATGTAAAAAAAAAAGAACATGCTAGCACACCTTCTCACTGTCCATTCAAACACTCCTGTCCGTGTGGCCTGATATACCTGATATTCTGTGCTGTTAAAAGCAAGAAAACATTTTTCAGCATGATGCAGCCATGTTGTGTCTGCTATGATTTTCTCCAAGGCAGCATCCATTGTATCCAGCAAAGACATGTGGTTATGAGGTCAGTGATGTACCTTTCATTACTATGCTGAAAAGAAATACTTAACTGGACTGAGGAACGGGCAGTAGGCTTAAAAAACGTTCCCCGATCAGATGTGTATGACCCTAACAGTGTCCCACACTGCTACATAATTTGAGAAGTCATTTCTCTCCAGCCACTGGTCAGTTTTAGGAAAGACATCACTACCTGTAAGCTGAATTGATTGGTTGCTCTAAAATGTGAGAAAATGAACTTCTTGGTGTTGGTGAATCTGAAGCTTCCTCTGTTATCAATTTGTTGGACATTCCAACAGAACCACATCACTGCAGGTTATGTAATATGACATTGTATATAAAGGTTTAAACATTCCTGGTCACATTACATGTTTTGTTGATTTTCTAAGTGAAAATAAGTTAACACACCCTCTACAGAGAACACACTTAAACATTTGTCTGCTAATTTTAGTGGCCAGTTTCTGTTTATTTGCTAAGCTTAACATATTGGAAAGTGATAAAAATAAAATATATTCTACAACTTTTGCACTGGGCACTTTTTTTTTTTTTATTGTTTCCCAATATGTTAAATTTAGCAAATAAACAGTGATTGTGGCTTACTTAATCAAGGTTTACCCAACACAACCAATTTATATTTACATTAGAATTGTGTGGGAGAGCAATGAGAAATGCAAATGAACAATTGAGCGAATAAACTACTGATGTTAAGTATTTAAATGAGTATTTTTAAAAAACAAACAAAAAAATTGGCTTTCATTTAAGGCTTGTGCTTTAACCCTTAAGTGTTCAATGAAGAAAAGCACAAGAGTCATTCTGAAGCCTTTCGTAATATCCAAAGGCCAGAGTACATTGACCGAACGTTCTCCAGCACCAGTAAATCCCGACAGTCTTTTAGACTGATTTGTTTGGAGACTCTAGAATGTTCTTCCCCATTCAGACTGGTTCATTTGGCTTGTCAGTTGTTATTCTGTAACAGTTAAAGCTATAAGGCCTTGAACGTTGGGTCAGTGTTACATGGGCTAGCAATTCTAACGTGGTTGCCCATGGTCTGATTTAATTACTATTTATTTATTTATTTATGTTTTTGTTCTTTTGTTTGGAGCAGTAGCCTGACGAAGACCCTTAAGCATGTGTACAGCCAATATGGGATTAAGAAAGGACTGTACCGTGGGTTGTCCCTCAACTACATCCGCTGTGTACCATCCCAGGCCGTCGCCTTCACCACATATGAGTTTATGAAGCAAATCCTGCACTTGAATTAGTGCAGCAACCGTTGCTGATCCTCTGTTCCACAGCAAGAACAAATTGTCGTACAGCTACTGGAAGCATCACAGCAGCCCTGCTTGCTAAATCCAATGACCACCTCTTACATCTCCAGCTCATCAGACTGCCCAGCAAACCCCCAGGGTTGCGTGAGGTTGAGGGCAATGCCTCACCAACCCGCTTTGGAGACAGAGAGGGGGAATGCCCCGTAACAGTCATCACTGGCAATGATCAGTTTACGGAAAAAACGTTGGTTGCACTGAACAGTCTGCCTTAACCAATCAGCGAGGTTCTGCACTCTTACATGTCTTGTGTGACGCAAAACAAGTGACGCACAATAGATCTTTCTTTCAGCTGCTGTTAACGTCATTGTGTCTATATGTCACAGCTGTAATCCACAGTATGTCACAGCTGTAATCCACAGTATGTCACAGCTGTAATCCACTATGTGCATGAATGGGATATTTGTGATCAAGTGCTTGTCAGTGTCGAGATAATACTGCAATAATCAGAAAACCTTTCTCAGAAACAGTCAGATGTTTCATCGGCATCCCCCCACCCCCTCCACCTCCGCTGCCTATGAAGTGGAGGACTGATATGATTCTGTGAGAGTCGTCTTTCTACTCATGTTTCAGATCAATCATGGCTCACATGCCTTCTGCAGTAGCTCGAGATCTTCTCTTGGTTTGTAGTACATGTAATCATACTTTATCTGAACAGAAATCTCTCTTTTCTTTTAAGGCACACTCGGTGAGAAATCGAGATGTGCATATCTATAGTAGAGGATAGTTTTATGGACATTTTTATTTACAGATGGGAAAGGGAACCTGATAGGGTCAGGTTAAAGATCATGTTTGCCTTGCCAGCTTTATGTTTCTCTCAATTACTTTACAGCAGTTCTTGCATATAACCCACCTGAAACTTTTACCTGTAATGCTGTCTTTGCTGTAATAGCTGATGTGTTAGCATCTTTACAGCACCATGGAACATAGGCAGTCTAATGTCATTCCATTCAGAATCATTTAATGTAGAAAAAATAAGCTGATGTTAGAGTTTATGCTTAAAAAGATGCATAAGTCAGTCAAGAGTTGTACTTCTTGAATCTCCTTTTTTGTTTGATCTGAATAAATTGAGTTTTTATCCATTGCCACTTGGTGGCAGTCTTGAGTGGATACATCAGGTTTATCAGTGAAAAGCTTTTAAACCCAATGTTACTGTCCTTTATGCACTATACATGCCTTTACCTTCAGTTGCTGCTCTCTATAGCATAATACACGATTCTGTCTGTTTGGCTGAAGGAATGACTGAAAGTAAATGTTTACTCTTATAGATTTGTCACATACAGCCTTGTTTGATTTGAGACACGACTCAGACGTGGGACATTGTACAATGATTAGTACAAACATGCTTATTATTATAATCTGTTATAACAGTGCCATTGAATCAAATCGTCTCAATGAGAAAGTGGCCATGGATTTTGGAGAATAAGGGAAACGTCTTGTTAATGTTGCAGTTATATTAAAAACAGTTCTGAGAGAAATTTTAGCATTATTATTATTATTTATCTGATCATAGTGTATTTTGTTTGTGTCAGAATACAGAATGCAACTGAATGCTATGAACAAATATTTCATTGGTATTGAACTACTGATCAATGAAAATGCCCTTTTTTGTACTTTTTCATTCTAATTTTGCATCTGTTTTTCCAGTGCGTACACAAATTAAATGTATGTTTCTGTTTGTGTAAATGAACTACTATGGTGTGTGTTTATTTGACTTCCTCATCTCTTGTGATCCACATTTCTAATCTGACTGCTAAAAAAGCCAATAACCACATCTGAGATGGAATTCTATGATAGACGTGTTTAGAGACAAGATTCAATGTAAGTTTAGACTCACTGCTTTTCATTTTACATACAGTATCAGGCAAAAGTTTAGACTCATCCAGCTCAATGTTTTTTTTTTTTAATATTAAAGTCATTTCAGCCTGGAAGTGCATATGTGACAGAAAGTTGTTTCTGAGACCAATAAAGACAGTGAAAGTGATGTCTGTATGATTTTGGCCAGCAAGTTCTCAGCATACAGTCATATGCAAAACATCCCTGGTTTTACATGTTGAGTTCTATGTGAAAATAAGGTACACGTCCCATTCAGAGAAGACACTTCTCCGTGTGTGTGTGTGTGTGTGTCTGTTCTCATTCTTACTTGATATAGGATTTCAGCTGCTGAACAGTTCGAGGCCTCCTTTGTCATTTTTTTCATTTCATAATGCACCAAACCTTTAGTGGTGACAGGTCTGGACTGCAGGCAGGCCAGTTTAGCACCCAGACTCTTTAATACGTAGCAATGTTGTTGTAATAAATGCACAATGTGATTTTACATTTTAGTGTGTGTGTGTGTGTGTGTGTGTGTGTGTATATATATATATATATATATATATATATATGTAAAAGACAGTTGAATCAGTTGAATATATGTATATGTATAAACACATAAATTCAGCAACACAAAACTGTGCATAAAAATTGCATAAACTTTTTTAGATTTGTTCCCTTTACTTAGAAGCATGTTCTTTGTCCCGTGTTGTTCAAACTTTCACATATAAATGAATGTGGAACTTCCTCAGCCTGTTCAGAAATCATCTCAGGAGGCTCTGCTATAATAATTCAGAAGAATAATAAAAATACAGGTGTGTGACTGTATAATTGGTCCCAGGGTGAAATCAACTGTCATTGTTTATGTGACAGTTATTATAGATTGTTGTTACTGATAATCATTTGGACCTAAAAGCTGAAGGCCCAGTTTCCGAGCAGCATTTTAGTGTTGAGTTCATCTTAACTGATAGAGAGAGTGTTCAGTGTGATGCTCACTCTACTATTTATCTATTTACGACTTATATTTATGCTAAAATGCTTTCTTTTGTTGGCCATATATTTAACTTTTTCGTTACTGTTTCTGGAGCATGGAGCCCCTTTATCAGCACCTGTTCATCTTATGAAACCTTGTTAGGCCAAAGGGCACAATATTTTCCAGTTAAGGGAAAGAGATAAAGTGATGTTCAGTCAGTGATGTCTCAACTGTATCTGTCTCACACAGCTGAAATGTTTCACCATGATGTGTGACTTTCTTCACTTCTTGTATCAAAATCATTGTGATGTTGAGAACATTCTGACTGTTGATTCCGGTAGCCTACTTCAGTGCAAGCTCTTTCTTTCCCACCCTGCCTAACAGTCTGCAGGAGTGGTGGAAACTGGCTGAATGCCTAAAATCTTGTGGGTTATTAGGTTTAAGTTATGACCAGCACTTTTTCCTACTCCCAAACCATCATGGAAACCACACTGAATTTTTACACACTCTTTATAACCGTCAACAAAGACTATATAAAGTATTATTTAGTTATTATTTTAGTTATTGGTGTATTATTGTTTATTGGTATTTATTTTTAGTGGCATTTCAAAACAATAAAACACATTTTCCAATATATATATATATAAATATATATAACATACAAAACATGGAAAAAAGAGACCACCCTTCATTTATTTTTAATTTCCAGTCAAAACAGTCACTTTCCAGGAGATATTACTGAGGAGATATATGATAATCCACTTCCATAAAATATAGACAAGTCAAAGCAAAATAAGTGAAAAAACGAGTTTCCAAAATTGGAGTTTAAAATTCCTAAAAGATATAGAGAAAATGAGAGTCTGAATAACTGTGCAAGACCTGGTATACCATCAAAACTGTCACCATCAGATAAACAGCGCTTAAAGCTTTTATCTTTGAGAGAGAGGAGAATATCAAGCTTCAAGAATCCGGTACTGAGAAAAGGGAAAAAAGAGAATAAATATGCAAATAAAGATGCTGCTGGTATTCTCAGAAAAATGCAATGGCCACCCCAGAGTCCAGACTTCAACACTGAATGTGCTTTGAATTATTTGGAAGGAGAATCTTTGAAGGTGTGTAAATTCCTGCAAATGTATTTCAAAAACTGAAAGCAAGCTTCCAGAAATGAGTGAAAGTGTAAAGAAATATATATATTTATATAATATATATATTATACTTAGTTGCCATAGCCATAGATTTAGAAGGGAGGTGAATGGGGATGTGTTTTTTAGCGGCACCCACAATAATTCACCCTTAAATTTGGCCATATAATGCATATTTTTAAAAATAATTTTTGCCAGCTTGTTTGTTTGTGATAGTTAGCTAGCTAGTATAGTAGGCCTAGCACAGGGATGTCCACTCTTATCCACGAAAGGGCGAGTGTGGCCACAGGGTTTTATTTCAGCACAGCACAAGCTCACGTGCAGTTGTCTGAAGACTGTAACCGGTATTCAAGTGTACTCAGGTGAGTACCTGCTTGTTTCAAATGAAAACCTGTCACCATACTGGCCCTTTGCAGATCTTTTACAATCTAAAAGTGTACACTTGTGTCTGCTTGACACCTACATGTGTCTAACTAGGGTAGCCAGATATCCAGTTTTGAACTGGAAAATCCGATTCTGAGCTCCCTTTTCTAGTTTATACTGCCAACCGGGCGTTACAATGAACCTCACGCTGAAGCAAAGGTGCACAGCACTGGTGTTGACTGGTTTGTTTTGTTAAAACCAATCTGACTACTAAGCAGAGACACTAAACACATTCATAGTTAGGGTAATTAAAACATACATTAGAAACAAAGTACATCCAAATTCATATTTAACCTATATATATATATATATTATATATATATATATATATAAAATGTAAACATGTTATTTGCATACAAACAATGTCTAATAAGAGCTAACAAACAGAAATCAACTAATTCGCTATAGGAACTCTGGGTAACTCTGCCACATGCTCACCTAATGCTTGTCTTTTGAGTTCGTCTTTCTCACAAAAATAGGTAGCTTGAATTTTCAATCAGACAGTACAAACAACAAGTCTAGATTGAGTGATAAGTTGTTGCAACAAAGTAAGTCATTATAAATTAATTATATAGGTACAAATGATGTCAGGGTTTTCAGTTAAGTAAACAATATACAGGTTTGTTTATTTACACAGTTTGCCCACTAGCTGGGACTTTTTCCATCCAACAGTCCCGCCAGGCATTTTCTATACTTGGCTTCCAGTTACGAATGGATATGGCATTACAGGAGCTCAAACTCACAACTTCCTGGTCAGTATGAATGCTTAGCCCGTTGCAGCACTCACAAGCTCCTGAAATTAGTCAGAGTTTTGTGTGCTGAAATGTTTAATACACTTTAAACAATGTTTGTTGCAACAGTCTGAGAATTCACTCCAGCATCAGAAGACTGTGAGTTTGAACCACATTGATCCCACAGCTGTCCATGTCTGGAGCAGGAGAAAAGGCCTGGTGGGATTGTGTGATAGAAGGAGTCCCAACTATGGAGTATGGAGTAAAAAACAAATTCTATGTTAACAGAGAAATGAGAGTTGGGAGAGCTTTTAACTAAACTAAGAAGTTTAAGTTGGCTGAACTTAGGTGTTCTCAAGCTGAGTTCACTCAAGAAAAGCAATGGAATTAGTTACAGTACTTTTCTTCAATATCAGCATCGAATTCACACTCAGTTCCATAACAGGTAGATATTCAGTGAGCCCCTTAAAATCACAGGCTTATTACATACTAAGGCTTATTTTTCAGTACCAACAGGGACTTCAATGCAAACTAGTTGAGCTATTCTTAGGTCATAGAAGTGTGTATTAAAACTTTGTGCCTGCTGGCCCTGGCCTTGGCCATTTAAGAGGTTAAACACTTCAGTATTTTTCTCAAAGAGAAACATCGGGACTGAAAGTATTGATGTATCAGTATCAGTACCAGTCAACCCCTCCTTACTGCATTTCTCATAAAGGGGGTGGTATTCATTCAATGGCTTTCCCAACTTAGCTGGAGGGTTCCTGCATGACGTGTGCCTTTTTTTTTGCTCTTTGTGACTTACCTAAACAAACTAATCAGACGATTAACAAGCCCTTCCTGAGAGGGAGTGTTAGAGAAGGGAAAACACTGAAATGGGCAGAGGGTTCTCTAGGAGTATGGCTGGAAACCACTGTTCTAGCTAGATTGGCCCAAACTTCCACCTTCCATTTCTAGCTGTGACCGAATGCAGTCTGACTTCTGTCTTATTTGCATTTCCCTCCTGCAGCTTTGTATAGTACTGCTGTATAAAGTAGTGGCTAATTTGACTGGTAAATATGTTGTACACAGAGTACTGTTTGTGGTTTATGTTTTGCAAAGTTGTTTTTGAAGAAAATAAGGTGACAAGTAAAACTATGTGTCCTACGTGTCATCAAAAGGCCAAGATGTAGCCTACTCTCACATAACATTAATCACCCCATCCTCTAAATAATGTGATCAATGAATAATTTCAGCTTTGCGCCACCTCCTACGAACAGATCTTTCTGTGTCCTTCTGAAAAAGAAAAGGCAGAGCAAATAGTTACATTTCCTTTTTCACATTTAGTGTGCAGCCTTATCTGTGATTGTCAGCGAGTGTACGATACGGAACCTCAACTGATAATGTGGTTGCCATGCTTTACATAAGATACCTTTGAATTTTCTCACAAAAATGCCTTTGATACATTGTATGATAAAACCTGTACCATGTATTTAGCACGTGTGTATTGTGTAGTACCAGTTAACATCCACAAGAAATGCTTGTTATTGCACAGTTATCTAGTTTAGATAGATTCTTTGATCCTCATATGAGTGCTCCCTACTTGTGGAGCAGAGTTTACTGAGAATCAGCGTCATGTTTCTGCATTTGCATGTTGTATCTGGGGAGATCAGGGACACATGCTTAGGTGTGTGTGTGTAAGTGGTTGCGTGTGTGTATGCGCGTACATTTATGTGTGTGCAGTAGAGAAGGGGAAATGCATTCTGCAAGAGGCTGCAGAGGTTAGCAGTGGAGAAACAGATCCCTGTCCTTGTATAAGAGAAGGATGCCTTGCTACACGGTGACCGTCGCTACGGGCAGCCAGTGGTTTGCGGGTACGGACGATTACATCTACCTGACCCTGGTGGGGACGGAGGGCTGCAGTGAGAGAACTCTGCTGGATAAACCCTTATATAATGACTTTGAAAGAGGAGCGGTAAGATCTTTTGTATCTTAGCAGCTTTTTATTGGTAGCTTTTCACTGGTTGGGATTCATGATCAAGAAGGGGTCGCACATTAGAGGCAATCGATTGCTGTCCTGGAGGGACGGAGTCCCTCACAGAGTGGTGATCTCCCCATTCAAACTCATCTGATTCAACTATCATTTACCAGGCTTTGTCAGTGTGCAGTTAATTTGTCAGACTGTGCTGGACTGATGACCCCTGCAGAGAGCCAATCTTGGTTCCCTGAGGAAACTTTATTTTGATGGTGCTTAAAGAAACATTTTTTTGCGAATGACATGTGCAAGCCTGTAGAATCTTTTTAAAGTTATCACAGTTGGTTGGCATTGTTTTTTATGTACAATACTGAATAATAAGCCTTAGGATGTAATGAAGCTGAGGTTTTTAGGGGTAGAAGAACTTTCATATAATGTAAAGCTTTCATACAAATGAAAAGCTCTTCCTAGAACCATTTAGGACATAGATTTTGAGAATGTAAAGATATTTGTCAGACTAATGTGGCAGTTTATATGCATAAAGCAACAGGCAGGGAACAGATTAAGTCACCAACAGATTAAGAAATAGGAGGAAATGACCACATTTAAAGCCTGCAAAGTAAGTGTGACTCCAAAACGTCTGTAACCTATTCATGACTAATTAAATTTGACCTTATTTTGACTTAATGCTGTATTCTCATACGTGTACACACACACACACACACACACACACACACACTCACACACACACACACACACATGCACACTCACGTACACAAAAACACACAAAAAAGGGCATGTTATTTTTTATGTTTGATATTTTTTCAAGTTTTTTTTCTATTACTTTAAAACTAAGTATGGACACAATACATAAGGTAGATAAATATGAAGTTGTGAATGTTCTAGTAAAATGGCTGTGTTCGCCAGTAGGTCTGTTTTTTTCCCCATGTCCAATCATGATCTGTTCTTTTTTGGACTACAGGAACTATCCCTGTGTATTTTCAATGGGCGTACTGTTTATCACTAGGTCTTATATCACATATCGCTACTAAAGTGTGAACAGTTCTGCAGAAGTAAACTTTTGAGAACATGGACGATTTCCTCAGCCTGTTATTTCTCAACCGACTTCACTTCTCTAATCCAAGGTGGACTCGTATGACATCACTGTGGGGGAGAACCTTGGCGACATTGAACTCGTGAAGATTGAAAAGAAGAAATACTGGATGCACGATGATTGGTATTGTAAATACATCACAGTGAAGACCCCCTCTGGAGATTACATTGAGTTTCCCTGCTTTCGCTGGGTGGTGGACGATAAGGAGGTTGTCCTTCGAGATGGCCGAGGTGGGGATCAGTTTGTTGTGTCTGATTTGGGTGTCGCTTGCTGAACTGCTGTAAATGAAGCAATCGGATCATACAAAAAAGTTATGCATTTAAAATATATTACATCTATACACTATAGCTGTAGTTGGGAACATATTGACAACATACACAGTCTTAGGCAAAAGTTTAGGCACCCCTGGACAAATTACAAGTTTTGTTGATTTTCTAAGACAAAAAAATAAAAAAATAAGTGCACATCCTCTACAGGGAACACATTTCTGGACATTTTATGTTTTTTTTTTGTGAATTTAACATATTGGAAGAAAATTACACTTAAAATGTGGGCTTTGGAAAAATGTAGGCACATTTTATGTTTTATTTTCTTCCAATATGTTAAATTCAGCAAAGAAATGAATATTGTGCAGTAAAATCTGCAGAGAAATGCCATATTTAACACGGCTCCCTGTAGCAGATTTTGAAATTCAGAAATAAGCCCCAAAACAAAACATGTAATGTGACCAGGGGTGCTGAAACTTTTTCAGAATTGTAAAGCTATAAGTAATTTCCGTGAGGTTAAAGAAGATCGTGACACAGTGTGCTTTCTCCATGTGTGTTCTAGCACGACTGCCGCAGGATGACAAAACTAGGGTGGCGAAACAGCACAGGCGCAAAGAGCTGGAAACCAGACAAAAGACATACAGGTCTGACCTAAAATGTCTCAAACCTCGCCAACCAGACAAAGTACAGGATGTTTACTTCATTTGATTTGTTCAAATTTAACAAATAATTAATTATAGCAGATTTAATTTTTTAAAAATCAGTACTTTAAAACTATTTCAGAGCACTGAATGTTTTCACTGTTTTACAGTGTGTCAACCAGATCCCATAGAATCTAATCTCATTTTATATGCTCCAGAGGTTCTGCTTGGTTCCTTTGTGTGTGCAAAATCATCTCTCAATGATTTTGTCAACATCTTAGTACAAGTATAACTGCAGCTGATGAATATTTCTTGTTTAAGGTGGAAGGAATGGCACCCTGGCTTCCCAATGAGCATCGATGCTAAAACCCATAAAGAGCTTCCACGAGACATCCAGTTTGACAGTGAGAAAGGTGTAGACTTCATCCTCAACTACAGCAAAGCGTGAGTCCCGAGGAGTTGTGTGATATTGTGGCAAAATGTCTTATAGTTATAAACCAACACCTAAACCCACTGGACTTACAAACACAAAGGGAAAGATTTACACTTGACAAGCATAGCTTAATAAAGTTGTTCATAAATATTACTTTTTTGGACATGTTTTCTATTATTTATCCCACCTACTGCTAGTAGGGTAGGTTATAACACCAGAGCTCTTTGCATTAGATACCCATGTACTGATTTGTATACAGAGTTAAATGTAGTTATTTGTAGCATATTTACTAATAGACAAATACAGGCATCATAGCAAATAACCATAAGAGGCTGAGGCAACCCTCCCCGGTCTCCCGTACACACTGAGGTTAACTATATGGACTTTCCAACAGAAGAGTCATTGTACTGTTAGTTGTAAGCCACATTTGCATGTATCCCTCTATGCCTGAATACAAATGTTGTCCATGTTTGCCTATGACTGATGCCATAATTATCCTGGTTATCCGCTCTGCATCTCTCCATTCATTTGTATTTTCTACTCTCCATTGTTTCAAATAACTTTTTTCTTTGAAGTCTTCTAAGTAAGAAACTCTACGACCTAAAAAGGTTTATTAGAAGTAATGCAAAATATCTTTAAAAAAAAAAAAAACTAGCAAAAATTACCGTTATGACATTGCACAGCCTCCATAGTGATAGTGATCTTAACATTATGAAGCTTTTGACATTATGTTGCGTACGTGAGTGTCTTGAACGCCTACTTTTGGTACTTATACTAGTACTAATTAGTAACCTGATTAATTTCTTTCTTTCAGGACTCCTCATTTTGCAGCATCAGTCTAAACATTTACGACAGCAGTTTCAGACTGACTAAGTACAGCCAAAGCTCAGTGTAATGAAAGCCTGCGAAGTATTTACATGAATTTACATGAATTAATCATTTGCCACTAGATGCAGCTGCGGCATGACTTTGTGACCTAATTGAAAGAGCCTAAAGTAGTTGGTTAATGTAAGGAGGTTGCGTGGCTCACTGAATGGCTTCCTGAATGACTACATATGTTTGCGCAGCAGAAAAATACACCACAAACCCATGGTGTTGCTTAACAAACATATAGTTAATGAACGTTACTGAATCATGTTGAGGTTGTTTCACTTTCAAACAACCTCTGCTAATGTTCACACAATACATGCAACCCTGTTCTTACCTGGCTGTTCTTCCTTTTTCAGGATAGAGAACCTCTACGTTAACCAGTTCATGCACATGTTCCAGTCATCATGGGGTGATTTCTCAGATTTTGAGCGCATCTTTGTGAGGATCAAGAACACAATATCAGGTTGAGGCTGATTCTTCTATCTGTGTGGTTTGAATATTTCACAATCCCATCACTTCTGACACTTTACTACATAATCTTGCCCTGACAACTGACACAAACTTACACGAACATTTATAAAGGCTTATTACAATAGTCAATGTCAAAGGCTGCTTCTGATGTCAAGCTGATGCAACCTGACGATATCAGGTGACTGATTCATTTTTCTTTTTTGGTTCAGGTCATGATGCTATTTTGGGTGAAATGACAAGCATGTTTTAAGAACTGACTTTGTAATTCAGTGTATATCATATAAGACTCATAATGTGACAGCTTAAATCTTATAAATGGTAAATGACAGCTCTTGGCAAGCTCTGTCATATTATATGCATTATGTCAGTATGAGACACACTCAAATACAAAGTCTGTCATTTCACCTCAGAAAGTGTCACGAGTTAACTTAATGTCTGATAAAAATCATTGTCACTTGACATAGATGTTAGGGGCGGGCTTTGTGCAAGGCAAAAATAAGCAGCCGCCTAGAGCCGGCATGACCCAAGAGTTTCCTGCAGAATACGACTTAGACATACTGTTTTGATGTTACATATCCTATTCCAAAATATGTATGCATTTTAATAATAGCTATTATTTGTGATTGAATGATTATTTTCAGTTATTTCAATGCAGCCTGACCCCCTGGCCTTGGTTACATACTGACACAACTGTGTGAAAATAATTAAGCAGTAATCTACACTATGGAGAGGAGGTCCTTGGTGTGATTTAGTAAGTTAGTTGACAGGAAAAGCCCAATAATGTAGATAATAATATCCCAGAGCTAGCTTTGTCTTTTCAGTCAGGACAGAGTTCTGCACCAGCTGAGCAGATCATACATAATGCTAGCATTAATGTTAGTACATATAACTCCGGTGCTGAAGTAATTATTCCAAAAAAGTAATGCATTACAAGTTCCTCATTCGTACCCTTACTATGTAATGGGTTTAAATTACTTATTACTTTCTGGAAAACAGAATCTCATTACTCATTACTGCACTTCTATCTTTCTCTGTTATTTCTTTAGGCAAGCAAAATTAGTTTTTAATATAGTGAGATTCACTTAATAAAATTACTTAAGTTAATAATGTCTAGCAATAAGTTAAATAATCTTATAAATATTTTTTACAGCGATCTCAAAATGAGAAACATTAGGTATAATGACTAGACTTTACTTGCCAAGATACCATTTTTTGCAGTGTAGACAGTTGCATCACTAATTTGAAAATGTGCATGCAGGTGGCCGCTCTTGTCTTTGGCCCAGAGCCCCAGAATCCCTAAATCACCCTTGATATAGATATAGATATAGATATAGAGATAGATAGACATCAAAGTTGACAGGTGCAACCTTTATGACAATTGACACTAATTCACATAAGTGTTTATAAATATTTGTGTAGGACTGTAACTATAGATGTCATGTCTCATGAACACAGTAAAGTGTTAAAAAAACAATCTGACATATAGAATCTTATGACAATGTTCATTTTTCATTTTCTTACCTAGAGTACGTGATGCAGCATTGGAGGGAAGACTTTATGTTTGGATACCAGTTCTTAAACGGCTGCAATCCTGTCATGATCCAGAAGTGCACCCAAATACCGGAGAAGTTTCCAGTCACGCATGAAATGGTGGCTGACTGCTTGGAAAGAGACCTCACCCTGGAGGAGGAGCTGAAGGTTTGCAGACTCTAAAGTTAAAACTCTCTGAAATTGACTGTTATCTCCTCAACCTATATTTTAACTTGTCAGTGTGTTTTCTTTGTGGCTTGCAGGCAGGAAACTTATACATTGCTGATTATGAGATAATGGAGGATATATCTCCAAACTCTACAGACCCGTGCACCGTGCAGTATTTGGCTGCGCCGATTTGCCTGCTGTACAAGAACAGCCAGAACAAAATTTTGCCAATTGCCATACAGGTATTTGTCTGTACATTCTTCTGCAGTATATTAAACACATAATGAACAATTAGAGGGCCCATATCATGGCCAAACTGACTTCCCCTGATTTTTTGTGACAAAAGAGTTTGATATAGTATATAAACATTGTTAAAGATTTAAACTGTACTGTTTGCCAAGTTTCCATATTATGGAAAATAAGCTGCAAAACCCGCTTGTTGTGAATTCACTGTTTTCGTGATGCCATGAAAACCAGCACGTTTATATATCAGCCTATTGGGTTTACAGCAGTGTAGCTCTGCCCACTACTGCTAAAATTATAATGAGGGTTTCAGCCTGGAGTGCTATTTTGAATGAGGCACAATACAGGGCAGCCAGTCAGAACAGAGCTCATTTAAAGACACAGTAACAAAAACAACCTGTTTAATTCTAAGGGATGAAGAAAGGCTGGAAATCATAATGTCAAAATGAATTATGACTGTTTTTGGTATATAAAACCATGCAAATGAAAATGTAGGATTTGAGCTCTTTAACATAGATGTGACATTGCAGTTCAAATGAGATTCACTGTTAATTTACTATAAGCAACATTTTTATCCTCAACTATGATTGACACAAATTGATGTGCACTCACAAATAATATTTCAGGCCAAAATATTGTCATAAAAAAATCACAAGTATGGAATCAAGTATGGTTCTGCCTTCTTTCATATTATTACTTTACGAGTGATTTACTGTAGCTTACTCGAGTAAACAATGACTACAACCGAGTTAACACTACTTAGCCTTTTTGGTACTTCTGGAATCACAAATGTTACTGATGCATGACTAACAACAGTGGATTATGTTTGATTTGCATTATTAATTAATTTAGTAATTACTCAGTTCATTTGGAAATAAAAATGTATTATGTTTCTAAAAAATTTATTAAATAAACATGTAATTAAATGTGGGCCTGCATTTCAGTTGCTCACTCTCATAACTCATAACTACTTAACTTACATATTAGTTCATAGCATTTATGACATTTATAATGGTTATTGAATAAGATTAATAAATGAATAGTAATCTTGGGGTTCAGACAGTTGTACTATACTGTAAAAAGTGGAAAAGAAGTTGTTTTTGAGATGTGATTTAATGTAAAATATTACATTGAGTTGAATAAAACCAATTAAATTACTTGTTACCACATGAAGTGAAGTTTTGACAGTGTATGGAAACTTATCCTAAGCGTTTTTCAATGGCCTATGGCCCATGCAATATCTAATGTCTAATATCTAGGTCTAGGAGATTGTATTTGTTTTTTTTTCTGTGTAAACATAACCTGGATTATAATATGTATAAGTAATGAGTATAACTCAAATATAAAAAGGAACATCTCAGTGAAAGATAGTGTTGTACTTTTAATTTGCAGACTGTCAGGCATAACACAAATTTCCTTTTTATTTAAAAGCTGAGCCAAACCCCAGGAGAAGACAGCCCCATCTATCTCCCTAGTGACGATCAGCATGACTGGCTGCTGGCCAAGATTTGGGTGAGATCGGCCGACTTCCATGTTCACCAGACAGTGACGCACCTTCTCAGGACTCATCTGATATCAGAGGTGTTTGGCATCGCCATGTTCAGACAGCTGCCTGCTGTTCATCCGGTCTATAAGGTGTGTATCTTTCACTTTGAACCTTGAGCGTTACTGAAACATTACCAATGGACACATATTTGATTAAGCAATGCTAATACTCCATAAAAGAACACGGTGAACTGTGCAAAGTAATCGAATGTATGACTGTGAGTTAATGATATATGGTCTCAACTTTCAGTTGCTTCTACCGCACATTCGCTTCACAATTGCCATTAACACCAAAGCACGTGAGCAGCTCATATGTGAGAATGGACTCTTTGACAAGGTAAGTTTAACTTTAGTGCTCATTTGTAGTTCACCAAAACAAGTGATTCTATCTGTATGCACTGTTTATTCACTATTTATTCAGTAATTAAACTTAAATTTATCTGCCTATGTCTACTAAGCATTGTTAAAAATCTCATTTCTCAGAAACGGTCATTTTGTTAAAGGGAAAAACAGTTTTAATGTACAATTATATAGCAAGATTTTGTTCCAGGCCGTTTTGGACCATTTCTGTTGGTCTACTCATCTTGAAATGTTTGCACAGTGTAATGCCAGGTGGAATTTTCATATTGTGTGTAAGGAAAAACATTGTTTTGAGGTTTTGATATGACAGCTAGTGTTGGCTGAACACTGAATACATTGCCCTAAATGTATTCAGTAACATATTCCACTACACTAGGTAAAAAGTAACGTATTCAGAATATATTTAGCCTACATTTAGAACATATATTGACTCTGCTGTTGTAATTTTTATTTAACACACTGTTTCTTGCTTTTACTGATTGTCAGTTTTCTTCATGTAATTCTTCTGTTAATATGTTTCATTTAAAAATGTTCTTATTTAAATGAAGCTACAATATTATCAACTTTATTGTGGTTCTCATTGTGTACTTCAGTCCACTGCTGCTCCCATAATCCCACTGCTGTCTCATGAACTAAGCAAACAATTCACCGTATCCCAGTAACAAAATCTTGCAGACTAGTTTGACTAGAAAGTGGGTAAACTTGTTCTGTTACATCCAGACCCTGATGACAGCAGTATGACAGGTTGTCTGTATGTGCACAGGCTAATGGCACAGGTGGAGGTGGTCATGTACAACTTGTCCAGAGGGCCATGAAGACTTTTACCTACAAGTCCCTGTGCTTCCCAGATGCCATAAAGGCTCGAGGCATGGAGAGTCAAGAGGAAGTGCCTTACTACTTCTACAGAGATGATGGCAACAGCGTGTGGGAAGTTGTCAAAAGGTAGTCAGAGAATTCCTGAATGTATTAATGAATTGGTAATGCCTTTCCTTTCTGTACTGTGACATATTCCTGACTGAAACACTGTACTTGGGAGGTCTTTGACCCAGCTGAGGATAGATGGGGGTGACAGGAGGGGAAAGTGAAACATAATATTATTGGTTAATATTTTTTCCCTGCTTGCTGGAGCACATTAACCAGAGCTCTGCACATAAAACTGAAGCCCAAACCCGATCAGTACCCACAATTTCAAGATCCGAGCCATCCTGACTGGTACTGCTAAATTTGAATCCCAAACCCGACTCACACCTCCTCACACACTCTAACAGAGATGGATTATCTAAAGTTTTAGGGAGCAATTCTGAACACAGCTGTAGATAAAAAAAAGACCTGACAGTGCGTAACTTTTACATGGGCATATTTTTTCAAATTCAAATCTACACTCTTGAAAGATGGTTCTCCAAGTGTTTTTTAGGAAATGGAATGATTGTATTAAGAACGATTCTCTTTAAAACCAAAAAATGGTTCTTCTATTGTTACAAGCTTGACAATGTAACAACAGAGGTAACCTTATGGGTGCTATATAGAACCATTTTCAAAAAGATTTTATACAGAACCATATACAACACATTTTTCCATCAATCTGAAGAACCATTTCATGCATGGAATGATTCTAAATAGAATTCATGGATCTAAATAGAACAATTCCCTTTAGTAAAGAAACCTTGATGAACCATCTTTTTTTAAAAGTGTACTACATAAAAAAATCACTCATTGGACAACAAACCCGAGACATTAGCCCGATGTTGTACGTAAAAAATGGCCCGAACCCCGCCTCCAAAAAAAACATTTTGCTGTGTTCCACCTCTAATGGTGATGTAATCAAAAATCAGAAAACGTGATATAGACAGGCAACAGTCATTATAATTCCATGCAAGATTACAGGAAAACAGCAAGTTGTCTTATAAATGATATAATGTGATGAATCATGTTCGACTAGGGACATGAAGTTACAAGACAGAAAAGATCAATTTTGTTTTCAGGTTGATTTTAAAGTTTCGAGTTAGTAATTTGAGTTAGTAGTAGTTTGGAGTTAGTAGTAGAAACATTTGTACTATGGGAAGATAAGCAAGTTTCATTTGGCAGAATATAACATATATGAAACTCTGCTTTGTGTCTTTTGGTAGTTTTGTGACAGATGTGGTGAACATCTACTACGCCAGTGATGAGGCAGTGCAGGAGGATGAGGAGATACAGGCATTCGTCAAAGATGTCTGCAGCTTCGGAATGCAGGATTTTGACTACTGCGGTAAGAACAACGTCAACACACTAATATGAATATGTCTTTGCAGCACTATACAGTTAGTAAGCAGCATACTTTATTCATACCTCTAAATCAGTGTGCAGTCCTATTGCCCCCTTGACACAGCATAGTTTGGTGTTTGCTCTGCATTAACACAGCTGATTCAGATCATAATATGTCTGAGGTGTTTTAGAGGAAGGAAATTATAAAATTGCAGTGGTGAAGGACCTCCGGGAAACACTAACAACTAACGCAACTAACCCCAGACTGACCCTAATCATTTTTATTCATTCACACTGCCTTGTTCATGTATACATCAAGGCACAAAATAACCCCACGCTCAGTGGTTTCTAAACATATTTCCTGACTTTCACCATGCACAAACGTCCTTCCTTAAACCAGGCACATTTCACCTGATTCTGAGCCATGTCTGAGGACATTAAGTGAAAGTACATTGTCGTTGTTTGTAGAGTTCCCTAAATCGCTGCAAACACAAGAGCAGCTAGTGGAGTATCTGACTGTTGTCATCTTCACTGCCTCTGCACAACATGCTGCCATCAACTTTGGACAGGTAGAGTTATACTCTCTCTCTTTTTCAAAGCCCATCCTAAACTGATATAGGCACCAGACAGATACCAGATTACAGATATTTGGGAAAACAAAATGAATCGATATAACAATGGTACATGAATAATTGCAAACTATGAGACAGTGTTACAACAGCACTATTAGAACTATTAATGACCATACATCAGTCTTTAACATTTCAAATGCAAAATATAATTAAATAGGATTAACCCCTTATAATACCAGACTTATTACCTCCTGAAGTTAATTCAGTAACTACGTGGACTACAGTGCAAACTGGCTGAGTTATTCTTAGGTTAAAGATGTGTGCGATAAAAGTTCAGACTTGCTAGTGCACTTTCTAGTACTTACAATTGACCAGGGCAGAAATTTGACTGTGAGTTGTTAGAAAGATGCCTCAGGATATGGCTGACAGAACCAAACCTGCTAAAGGGGTGTTCATGTATTTTTGGCCATGTAGTATAAGTTACAATGTCGATCTCAAGAAATGGCCATCTTCTTGACACTGTAGTGTTCTGAAAACATGAGAAGGAGAACGACACAACACAAATATATAATCAGACTCAAAGGTCAAACACGTGCTCTTGTGTCTTCAGTCAAGGCATAGATGCAATCACATCAGCATAAGACTAAATGGTGGTATTTCTGGTAATGGTAGTAGTTCATGATTATGATTATGTGGGCGGGGGTGTTCCACAAATTAGTGGGACAGTCTCTACATATTTATGGACAAATTAATGAGATATACATTTCATTCTCTTCAAAACCGATCCAGTATGACTGGTGTTCATGGATCCCAAATGCTCCCCCCACCATGCGGAAACCCCCTCCTACCAAGAAGGGCGAGGTGGATATGCAGTATATAGTGGAGAGTCTGCCTGACCGTGGCCGCTCCTGCTGGCATCTCGGAGCCGTGTGGGCTCTCAGTCAGTTCCAGGAAAATGAGGTTAGATCAGAAAACAAACCCTTTCCACTACACGTAAACTACTGTAATGATTTTACTTAAGAAAAACTAAAACATTTTCTTTACAGCTGTTCTTAGGCATGTATCCCGATGAACACTTCTTTGAGAAACCGACAAAGAAGGCTGTGGAGACTTTCCGCCAAAAGCTGTCGGAGGTGTCCAAAGTGATCAAGAATCGCAACGAGGGGAAGAAACTGCCCTATTACTACCTGTCCCCAGACAGAATCCCAAACAGCGTGGCTGTCTGAGTCTGCACACCTGGCAGAGTTTCCAAAGGGTTACTTCCCCATACACAGACACCTTCATAGCTTCTTATTCTTACTGTAATATAACTACACAAATAAACATGGTGAAATTCAGCATCCTATCACTTATGCTATGACTGGATTTGTCCATTTTTATCTTCTGCAAGATGTTTCCTCCTTGCTTTTATCAAAATATCAAATAAAGACATATTTGAACCACACCTTGCTGTCCAACTCTTGTTAGAGTATAGAACATGAGCTCAGAATTGTTGTAAGATTAACATCAGAAGTGACAACTCCTCTATATTCAGAGTGAACATGAGCAAAGCTGTTTGAGTGTTTGTGCTAAGTCTACGTGTTCTATGTAGCATTCATATAAAGCTACAATCTTTACTGTAGCCTAAACATGACGCAGCATTTTCTGTTTAATGAGTTAGCTAACCTGACAACCTGAGGATCTGATGAAAACCAGGAACAACACCTCCTGCTGGCAAAGAAAGAATACAGCAAATCTCACCTCACTGCATCTGTTTGGTTATTTGACTGTCAATAAGAAAATGACTACTTTGTATATGAAGCAGGCTCACATACCCCTGTGAGTGGGTTGATGCACACTCGGACCAACCTTGAGAGCTCAGAGAGATTTTCCAAACCCAGGCAAAGACTGATTAATGCATTCTGAGACCACCAGAAAAGACCAAAAAAGAATCACCCACCATTAATATTACATACTTAGTCTATTCGTTAGTAAAACAAAAAGCAAGCAACGGTATGCAACTTTGGTTTAAGGCTCTGAGATGTTGTAGGTGTAAGGGGGCACCGTCACATTTAGTTGATCAAAGCTATGAAACTAGAGCTCCAGTGATTTTGACAAGTCATTTCATGAAGAGTGCCATTAGGGGCAAAATTAATATAACTTATAATATAACTTATAATATAACTTAAATACACACGCACACACACACACACACACTTTCTAAATCTTATCTTAAATATCTTAAATATATTAAATCTAAAGAAAACCTCATATCTCCAAAGCAATAACTTTACAGGAGAAGGAATAAGCATACTTTACTTTTCATGTAAGTCAATGGAACCAGACATTTTTCCAAGTCATTTTGTGTCATTTCTGTTAGTCCTTTCATCATGAAATTGACATGCAATGTGAAGGGTAACAGGAATTTTCAAATTATGTCAAAAACTGAAAAACATCAAAAATGGAGATACAAGGTTTTTTTTCCAACAGCAAAATGTATTTTTTAAACAGTGTACGAAAAAATGAATATAAGTGAAAAAGCTATGCTTTCATTCATATTTGTTTAGAAGACTATGCATTATCATGTGTCCATATAGATAGTCATTGGAGTTACTTCTCAAATATTACAAAATAAAAGTTGTTTTGACAAATACATTTGCTCAAGTGTATATCTGTTTCTACATTAACACTACATATATCAGCTGAACATTAAAAAACATTCATTTTATGAAAAATATATTATAGTAATAATGTACTGTCACATTTAATTACGTGATGAAGAAGTGATATCGTTTAAGCCTTTAGGTGAGCTAAAGCTTAAATTTTGTTTTTATTCAACAACTGTTGTGTTTACCATCCTTGACAGGATCCCTTAAGCAAAAATAGTAATGCTCTTACAGAAGCTGTGTAGAGGAAACTTTTTTTTTAATATTCACAGAAAGGCTATGTAATTTACCTGTTGAAAACAAACTACTTGTAAATTATGAATGTCCTCTGTCACAAGTTCAGTTTGATAAGGTTGCAATTTTTACTGTTACTTGGCACAAAAAAAAAACATTCAGGTGAGATTTTTTCTCTTCTTCCTTCTTTTTTTGCTAAGAGCAAAATGTAATTTAAACTATAGGTGGATAAAAAAGTGATTTCTTTACATAGAAAAATTCGAATTCACATAACCATTTAGCACAAAACGTTTGTCCTCAATCTATCAACATTTTTAACTCCTTGGGACCACCGGTGGTTCCAAAACGCGCTTCGTCATACTCTTCTTTATATGAATATAACTTTCATATTTCATAAGCTACATTCAAAAGGTGGGTGTCATATGAGAGTTTTAACTGTCTTCTTTCCAGTCAAATAGATGGGTAATGTAATTTTAAACCCTTATAATAAAAGAAGCTGAACTCACTTTTTTTTTGTCTACTGGAAGTCGATATTATCATAATAAATATATATATAAATATATATCATGTAACTACACACTTTAAAAAGATGCTTTTCAGTGGTGCTTTGCTGAAGGAAATGCTTCTGTGTATAACCATGAATTTTATATAGAACGATTTCATGCTTAAATAGTTAAACCATGTTCAAAAAAGGTTCTATATAGAACCATATACACTGCGTTCTCCATCAGTCTGAAGAAGCATGAAATGGTTCTGTATAAGAAGAACTCATAGTTCTAACCATTGCCTTTACTAAAGAACCCTTGAAGAACCATCTTTTTAAAGTGTGTAGCTTCATGCAGCAGGTTGTGATAATGAAAAGAGCACAATTGAACATTCGCTCTAAAACTGGTACATTTTGACTCTTATGAGGCTCTGGAACTCGAGACTGAGCAGCAGGGTGTGTTGGAGGAATATGGACTGATACAGTAGTGGCTCCAGGCGATATTCCTACCAAGGAGTCGAGGCTGTGAATGAATGAAGGCTAACGTCCGCTCCTACACTCAGTCAGTCAGCCAGTCAGGTGACTATGGATCAGCTGATTGCAGGCAGACAGGACATGGCCGAGCAGACGGAATACTGATGAGGAGACCGCTGATCACAAGCTGCCTTTCAGCCCAAAACCTCTCGGATTCATGACTTTTAAGAGAAGATCATTCTGAGCGAAAGAGCTTGCTGCAAGGTATACAGGAGACCTATAGTTTCAGTCAGATACAGTAGCGTTCATTAGCCAGCCTAGCTACCGTTCCCCTAGCAGGAAAACAGAGTTGATCTGGGAAATGATGGTGCTAGCTAGGTTAGCTAGCATGCTAAAGTAATTGAAAGTTGAGGACCAAACCTGCACTAGCTAGAAAACGATCGATGTAAGAGTCTGATAACACCTCAGATTTGGTAAACCCACATAGGTAACGTTACAGAAATGACTGTTTTACAGTGAAACGCGCAGATGTGAGCTGGCTATTTTACCTTGTAAGTTACATAGCTAGCTAACCTACATAGTTAGCTACATGGTGTAACCACTCAGTGCTAGCAGTGTTTACTAACTTCTGTTTACAGAAGCTCACAACTGGTGGCTTAAACTTTTGCATGCCTGAGAGTCAATCAGGTAAACATGAATAAAACACTGCCTAACTAATTGAAAAATGAAGCAAGTAGCGAGTTAGCCAGCGTTGTGTAACCATAGTTTAAGTTAGTCTTTTTTTCTCTGTGTAGTGATAACTTACTTATCACAGGTGCATGTATTCTCGTGTTTTCTTCTCGAGATTTACCGGGGCTTAATGATAGTGACACATAATCAGTGTTAAATGCCGCTTTTGAAATGCACATCATCTTCTTTATTGATGGCTTTCACAATGCATTACCACTCTGGTGTTGTAGGTGGTGGAAGGTGGTGGAAGCTTTTTGTTTAAATGATTTGTGAGGCTGTAATACTCATGTGAGACGGATCAGCACACACCACGAAATGTAATATTTGATTCAGTATCACTGTTGTGCAACTAGAAATGCTTAACTCTGATGAACTAACTGCAGAGACCAGTGCTGTGAATTTACTTAACATCATTTAGGGATGCAGAATGATATTAGATTTATATCTAACTCCTAATTGCTTCACAACTGCTTGAAAAATGTATCGGCGTCAGATAGATGTTAAGTTAGATGTTAATTTGGTGACATATTTATTGTACTCCATAAGCACTGAATGTTAAGGTGATGTTGGACTACTCTGCTGCATTTGTAAGATGGCACAAATAAAATTTATTTTTCTTTGCAATGGAAATCCAAAGAGATGTAGTCCAAATTTCTAGATGTTTGGGTATCTGTATCACAATCAACAGAGGCACATGAAAAATACTGGATATTGACCTCGGCCTACAATTCCTATATCAGTGCGTCCCTAACATGATTATCTTCTAGACTTATTAATGTGTGTAGTTATGTTGTGCCAGATAAGCACTATGGAGAACGGGCCCAGTAACTACAATGGCGAAACGGAGCCTGTGTGGGAGAGACCCTGGACGTTGGATGAGATGCGGAAATCCAGCTCTAACTGGTCCTTAGCTGCAGATTCAGGGGTATGATATTAGCTATAGAAATCTTTTGTGCATGAAATTTGTCTCTTTGATGTCTTATTGAGAGGTCTTCTGTCTTTTCACCTCCACAGCTTTTTCTCTACCTGCAAGATTTCTCTCAGAGGATGCTGTCCAAAACTCATGAGATTGAAAAACAGTTGGACGGCCTCATTCGGGACACTAAAGCAACTGACAGCTGCCTACACACTGTCTTCAACGACTTCCTTATGCTCTCCAATACACAGTTTATCGAAAATGTACGTCTGTGGTTTTCAGTATTTGATCTCAGTCAGTACTGATAAATGTATTACTGTTGATGGGGAAAAAATCATCAGCTTCCTGTAAGTAGTGTATTTTTTTTTAATCACCCAGAGAGTTTATGACGAAGAAGTCGAGGAGGCTGCTCCAAAGGCCGAGGCCCCGGAGAAACGCCCTGAACAGGTCTGTTATTTTCTTATGTTTTTCAAAAAGCTCACTGCATATGGAATGATGTTTATATTCTTGCCACCACTACACTTTGTGAAATTGTATTAATAATTAGTATTTTGCTGGAGCGTTGTTTTTGTAGGTTAAAATGGCAAACATGTTTAGTTTGTTCTTAGTATAGTCAATCATGTCAGGGACATTTAAATATATTAGTTGGATTTAAAACTATTGTGTTTTTAAATGATTCATATTTTTTCATTTTAGCTTGCACAGTTTTAGTCTGGTCAATTAAACAGTCCTAGTTAAGGAAATATAACTTAATTTCTGAATGATTAATATGTATTCTAAACTAGTTTTGGTCAGAATAAAAAGGGAAAAAAAGGTCACTGTACTATCCGTCTGAGAAAAGAAAATAACAATGATGTGTACAACAGCCTCAGTATCTGTTTCTTACTGCCCATTTAAAGGAAAAAACACGAGAACAGAAAGAAGCTGAGCTGATACCTAAAGTCCAGGAGGCTGTAAACTACGGTCTGAAGGTTTTGGAGTCTGCCTTTGAGCAGTTAGACATTAAAGCGGGCAATTCTGACTCTGAGGACGAGGAGGCAGTAGATAGAGTAGAACCCATCTTAGAGCCCAAGGTGAGATACCACATGTGCACTGCAGATATACCATTTTACTGTAGAGTGATACTGTACCTTAGCACTTTCTGCCTTTCCAATGACCTTTGTTGTTTTTTTAAATGCTTTGTTCAGGATCTGTATGTAGATAGGCCGCTGCCTTTATTGATTGGGTCACAAGCTTTTATGGAACAAGATGATGTTGGCCTGGGAGATTTCTCCAGTGATGGTAGTGTATTCCAAGTTTTTCAATTAGTGTCAGTATAGTCCTCATGATGTTGTCTGAATTGATCTTTATTCAGCCTTCACTTTGTAATTAACTACTTGTGCAACGTTCTCTCACACAGACATGTCTGTTGACAGTGATAGAGAGAGTGTCATTGAGAGTGACGAGGGGAAAGATGGAGAGGTAAAACTGGATATGCCAGCTATGTAGTGCCCTCAGTGTCACAGTACCTTTTTAATATTGCTGAATAATATTGTCAACATATTAATTTTGAGTTGAGCAATAGTGTTTTTGGATTAGATTATGTTTGTATTTGGATAACTGCCAGCACAAAACGGGCTGATTTTATATAATATGATTTGCAAATCAACAGCACTCAGATGAGGACTTTGACCAAGAAGAAGAGGGCCAGGGAAGCATAAAGAAGGTAAGAACTGAATGAAAATAATTTCATAGCAGTTATTTTGGACAACACCTTTTATGTATTTACCGCATTGCCTTCAAGGCCATATTAAGTGAGAACTGAGAAGTGATTTTGTTTTTTATCTCAGCATATAAGTTTTTTTCATTCATTTGACAGAAGCCATCTGTGGTCAGTTATGAAGAGGAGGAGGAAGAAGACGAAGATTCAGATATATTTGGGGAGTCTGACAAGGATGAAGATGAAGCCAGAAAGGTTAATAATTTAAAAATGTCTTTTTTTGTACAGCTGAATGCAGACACAGTTTTCAACTGTAGTTTTTATTTACAGTGCACATTTTCTCACTGGGTTTGCATGAAGGAAATGGGAAAATAAACAGAATATTATAGTAGAGCATAGCTGTTTTTTTTGCATTCGAGTAACAGAAGTGTATACTGTAAAAATGATTAATTTCATTGTAGAAGTGTTATGGAACAGTAGTATCTTTCTAGAGTGGAATATACTTTGCCCTACTCTCAAAAGGTATTCTAAGCCCTGTGGTCTACCTAGAGGTCCTTGGTGCTGTCAACAGTGTGTGGATGTGCATTTTGTCCAGACTTCACCAGGCATCACACAGGCTATGCGTTTACTGTGTCCAGCAAAATTATTTTAATGCATGTACTTGTTATTTTTTGAATTAGCTAATTTGCTTATAGAGTCGTTTGCAAATGTTTGGATACCCAGATTACATGTTTTGTTAATTTTCAATGTGAAAATAATTTAACTCATCCTCTACAGAGACGAAACTGAAATATGGCATTCTTTCTACAGCTTTAGTGTAAAATCTCTATGCATTTGCTGAATTCAATACATTGGGAAAAATTAGGCCACACTGATGTATATTTTCAGAATACATTACATTCCCCACATTAATAGTAATTATGTATTAAAATGTGTTCTCTGTAGAAAATGTGTAACTTATTTTTTATGAGAAAATCAACAAAATGTCATTTTACCAGGGGCACAAACACTTTTGCATGTGATTGTTGTAATGTCTAAATATAGATTACAAGCAAAACCAGCTCATGATGAGGTGAATTCATTAAAATTAGTTTAACTCGCACGTTCTTTGCTATATTGGTCAGGCAAGTGTAAACAAGCCCCTACACTCTGATTGGTTCTCCCCTGTATCTCTGCTGTTGAGTTGGCATTGATGGTGTTCTTGCCTAGGGCACCCGTGAGCACCCCTTTAAACGCCACGAAGGAGAAACAGGCCTTGTGGTCCTCATGGCAATGCACAAATGAGGACCACAGGACCACAAGTGTGCCAAATAGGACAGAGTATTTAATTATCAAAGATTTAGTACAAAATGTCTCACAGTGAAAACCTTGGTTTTGGATCAAAACAATCCAGATTTGTTTGTTGAGCTAATGTTATTCTCAGCAAATGTAAATCAGCTCTTTGTCCTGTTCTGGTTCTTGTGTTTCAGGATGATGTGGGTCAAACATCTTTTGCTGATGAACTGGCAGCCAGAATCAAAGGAGATACAACAAGCAAACCAGAGCCAGACCGTACATGTAGGTTCACTCCTTTACTTACCATTCATCAGCTGAATATAAGACTTCTATGTGGATTTTTATTCTTGATCCATTTTTTATGCCTTAATTTGGTTCTTTTTCATCCTTTTGTTTGCATATGCATGTCTTTCTGTTTTCTTCAAGCATTGTCATCAGGCCCATCTGTCAGCAAAAAGAAAAACAAAGGAAAGAAACTGCCAAAGGCATCAGGTATGAGTAACATCATTCAATCAGCATAGCAGAGGTTGCCTTACTGATGTTTGTTTAATCACTGAGTAACAAGGATGGCAATGCATCTGTTACTTATGGATGAGGCAAATCATTATTCATGTAAAATAATCATGGTTATGTTTTCTCAGTATGTATTCCCACCTTTCTTTTTTGTTAGATGGCTTGTTCATTTTCTTTGTAAGTAATTTTGCCAGCTTCAAAGTCAATTTATTTTACAGACTCTCAGGTTGAACTGATTAATATCATGCTAAGATTTGCATTCATTTTTACAGCTCGTATTAATCACATAACATTATTGATCTAGGGTGGTGGTGTGACAGGGATTAGGAATTCTATTCTGTATTTCATGGTTTTTACGTTTTTGTTTCAGTGGAAGATGATAATGATGAAATGTTCAAGCCTCCAAAAATGGAAGATGATGAATATTCTCCATTTGGAGGAAAAGGTGGCATCTTTAGTGGTGGAAAAGGCCTGTTTGATGATGATGATGAGGTAAACTGTTGTAAGCTTGTTGTTAAAGTTATTAGGCACTTAATAACTGCTATGGAGAAGAAAAGAAAAGTGTTTATTTCACAAAATACACCCTCATGTCCAAAATGGAACTAAAACCAGAATGCAATGATGTGCAAATCATTTAAACCTGATATTTAATTGAAAGTACTACAAAGATAACATATCAAATGTTGAAACTGAGAATTTCTTTTTTTTTTTTCAGTATGTGCCCATTTTATATTTTATGCCAGCAGCATGTTTCAAAAAAGTTGGGACAACACTCTGGGACAACACTCTGTAAGCGTTTGGGAACTGAGGAGACCATTGATGTATTGAAAGTGAAATGTTTTCCCATTTTTGCTTGATATAGGATTTCAGCTGCTCAACAGTTCGGGGTTTCATAGGCACCAAACATTTTCCATAGGTGACAGGTCTGTGTTGCAGGCAGACCAGTTTAGCACCTGGAACTACAGAGCCATGCTGTTGTAACACGTGCAGAATGTGATTTGGCATCGTATAGCTGAAATAATCAATGCCTTCCCTGAAAAAAGACATCGTTGTATGTCGCTCCAAAATCTGTATATATCATTCAGCATAAATGGTGCCAAGACAGCGATTTTTCTGGATCCTGTTTGTATGGTAGAATTTTAACATTTCTGCTGCAGTGATGAACTGTACACAGACAGTGGTTTCAGAGGTGTTGCTGAGCACATGCAGTGATTTCCACTGCAGAATCATGTCCGTTTTTAATGCAGTGCCGCCTGAGGGCCTGAAAGTTTTTGACCTTGTCCCTTACATACAGAGATTTCTCTGGATTCTCTAAATCTTGTAATGATATTACACACAATAGATGATGAAATCCCCAAGTTCTTTGCTGTTTTACATTGAGAAATGTTGTTCTAAAATCGTTGCACTGTTTGCCCCACAGTCTTTCACAGAGTGGTGAACCCCTCCTCATCTTTACTTCTGAAACAACTCAGCCTCTCTGGGATGCTCTTTTTATACCCAGTCATGTTACTGACCTGTTGCCAATTAACCTTATTAGTTGTGAGATGTTCCATCAGATTTTTTTTGAAGCATGACACATCTTTACCAGTCTTTTGCTGCCCTGTCCCAACTTTTTTGAAATGTGTTGCTGGCATCCAATTCAAAATGGGCATATAGTTTTTCAAAAGGCTGTACATTCATAGCCACTGGCATTATGGCCTTTTTGTTTTGCAGGGTGATCTGTTTTCTGAGGCACCCAAAAATGAGCCGATGGAACAAACAGTGCCACAAACAGGTATCATACCTTTGATAGCAGGTGGGCTATATGGTGAAAATGTAGTATCATGATACTTGATGATTTATTTTATTTTTTTTAACAATGCACAATACAGATCATGTGTTTTTTTTCTGAGGTTTGATAAGTTGGTACACACCAAAATGAGACTTGCAGTTGTTCTTTAAAGGGCCCATATCATGAAAAAACAAATGCACTTCAATTTTTGATTTAATCTGGAAACATTGTCAAAATGTCAAAAGTACAAAAACACTCCCACATCTGTATATAGAAGACAAAGCAGCTCACTTCTTTCTTTCTTTCTTTGCTGTCACAAAACATTACAGCAGTTTTACTACGCTTTTACACTGAACTTCTAACCCTGATTGCTTCTTGAATGAACCACAATACAGGACAGCCAATCAGAACATAGCTTATTACAAAATTACAAGAAAAGCATATTCTGAAATAATTCATCCATAATGGTTAATTTAGAGTAACCCTATTGTCCACCCCTTTAGTAATCTCTTTTCGTGTAGATACTCGATTTAATTCAATTGATTAACAGAAGATTTGTAATAAATGTGTTGGAAGTATGTGTTGCAAACCAGTAATTGTAGAGTTTAATTGTGTTTTTTTTTAACTTGAGAATTTAATTGTTTGTAGAGAGTGCCAAAACTAGAAAAATACCCACAGGTGCGGTCTCCATTTTCCCAGGTAATATGATTTCTCAATTCTCTAAAGGGTCCACTTTTTATGCTCTTCAGTGATGATTTTAGGTTTTAATGGAGTTAATATTTGTGTGCCTACGTGTGCATGTGATTTTTTATTTTTTTTTGTCAGAATACAATCGTTTTGGCTCATCAAACACTTCAGGTTTACTGGAGAGCAAAGAGAATGGCAGTCCAGTCAAACCCAAAGTACAGGCAGCTCCAAAACAGGCAGCACTAGGAGGTGGTCTCTTTGATGACAACGATGATGATGACGATGACTTTTTCAGTGGGAAGACTCTCAAAAAACCTACTTCTGGTAAGTGTGGAGGGCTGCGATGAGGAATTTGTAATCAGTTTGTAGGCTCTGTAGCCCTGTTGCAGGAACATTGTGTCTTGATTTACGTCAACATCAAGTACTGGAGCAAATAACATAACTATATATACTTAGCTGGACAGGAGAAGCCCAAACCAAAGAAAACAGTGGACCTGTTTGGCGGTGATGAAGATGATGATGAAGGTGACATTTTCAATGCAAGAAGTGCTACCAGTTCTCAACAGACCAAGAAAACTGTGGAGGAAGAGGAGGTGGTACGACCTCCTGAAAAGAAGGTAAGGCCCAAGGCTTGATCAATCCATTGCAATTCTCAATCAAATTGGATAATTTCAACATCCAAAAACTCTGTGCTTGCAGCTTTAAGATGCAGAAAACTAATTACATTTTTCTCACGATCAGTTTTCTTTTAATGTATAATGTTAGTCCTGAATGAGCCCTGATATGTTGTCTGGTTTTGAAACATTCTGCAGCAGCACAAGGTAGATATTTTTTTCAACCCGTTGTCGTACCTGTTAAACTAAAAGTTGTACAACAGATTTCCACACTTAAAAGAGGGGCTTAAAAGAGTTTACATGAGTTATTAAAAACAACAAAAGACAACACATAGCTTCAGTAAAGGTAGCCTTTAGGCTGCTTCACATAGTTAAGCTTTTGCCATTTTATTATTTTAAGACGATGTGATAAATAAGCTGTTAACAAGTGATTTATTAAACCTATAGCAAACAAGACCAAACCATATCAAGAACAAAGATCACTTCTGACAAAGAACAAAGTTTCTGACCAGAAAGCCTGTGTGAAAGCCTTTTTTCCTCTAGTTTAAACAGTCACATACTAAACCAGCTGTGCTAAAATGTATTACTGGAGTATAAGGAAGCTCAGTCTGTCTAAGGTGCAGTATTTACAGCCCCTTTTTTCTGTGCGGACTTAAAACACGCTTACATTTGTAATATAAATAGGTAAATAAATAAATAAATAGGAAATTAACCTTCCTTTTCACCTGTTATATATGTCTAATGGCTGATATGGGTCATATGATGGGTTGTACTTAGGTACCCATCTATCAAGGTGTTTACATAAAAGACATGTTAAATAAATTATACATTGTGAATTTTTAAAATGCATTACAAAGTTTAAGGAGTTTGCCACAGACTGGATGTCTGTAAAATCTGTATTGTTGTGTATCAGTATTGAGTCGAAATCAGCAGAAAACACTGGTCCAAATACTGAAGGAGAAAAAAAGAATAAAGAGAAAGAAAGGAAAAAAGTAAAGAAGTTAAATACAATGGTTTTAATATCGATATCAGAAAAAAATGGTATCAAGCTTTTCTCTAATATGTATTTTAAAAATAACTTGTCACAAGCTTTTCATGAAACGTATGACTGTATATTGAAGAGTTTATTTTGCTAGCACACACCGACACTGACTAATCAAGCTTGTTTGCATGCAGTTACCTGCTGGTGCCATCTCTGTGTTTGGGCCTGGCACAAAGAATCTTCTTGTGGAGGGACTGAAGAAACGTCAGCCTTCAACGAGTGAGGAGTCTGAGAAATCTGAGGAGGTATAAAACCATTCCCCCTCTCTCATCTTTTCTCTTTTCTCTCCTTTTCTCTGTATCATAGTTTTTTGTTTGTCTTTTAGAGCGTACCCCCTCCTGAGGTCAAAACGTCAGCTACTCCTAAAATAGCAGAGAAAGTCCAGAGTAAGAGTCTGTTCTCTGATGATGAAGACTCACAGGTAAGCTTATGTGCCATTTGTATTGTTCATGGAATCCTTAATCAATGCAATTTTAAAAGTTGCTTTTCTATTTTGTTTTGGACTTTTTTTTCCCTAAAGATATTCTCCCCAATGCCAAAAAGTCAGTCAAAGCATGAAGCCCCCACGCAGAGCAAAACAAGCAAGACAAAGCCCTCTATATTTGATGATGAGGAGGACGAGGTGAGCTAAAGCAGGTTTAAGTGTTAGAACTTCTATTGAGTATTGCAGAAGCATTTGTTATTGTAATTCCTTTGTGTCTTTCAGGATCTGTTTTCCTCTGTGCCGAAATCCAAATCAATTCAGGTCAAAACAACAGCACTCCAACCCGAGAAAACTGTGTCAAGCACTCTTTTTAGCGATGATGAGGTATGCGGGAAAATTAAAGAAGCATTATGCAAGATATTTTTGCTGTTGGGCTGCCCCTACAGTTGCAGTGTAAATTGCACTTTTATATCACTGTCGTAAATACAAATTGCGCTGAGCCCCCTTCGTGTACACTTGAAGGGGGCTCCCCTTTGCGTGCACTCACATTGTGCAGGCATATGAATGCTAGAGATTACACTTATTATCTCTTTTAACTTTTGTCAACGAGTAAAAGCCAGTCAGAGATTTACTCTAGCTTGGTCACTCTCTCTCTTTTTCTCTACCTCGCTTCCTCCAAAAACATCTTCTTTAGTCTTTTGGCAGCCTCTGCTATGATGTCCATGCTGAGAATACTGAGCTAGCTTCTTCTCATATCTAGCTGAAGAGCCATAGTTGTTGATGTGTATCGTGGTGCCATAAAGTGTTACACAGTTCTCGCGAGAGGTCTTGTACCCGCTACTCCAAGGTTACATAGCACTATAGCAGTGGCAATGACAGAGATGCCATTCTCTCAATTATTAATCAATGTACCATCAAAATGATTTTGAAGCTGTTATTTTAAGGTGAAATTGATATATAATCTTGCTTTAAAGCAGTTAAAACTATGAACAAATTGTATGAAATACTGTTTGCCTGTTTGGAATTGTACGAAATGCTGTGTAGGTAAAGAGTAAGATAAGCAGTGATGTGATTTTGCTTGAATTTATCTAATCTGTACCTATTATACATTGTTTTCTTTGCTTGTGTCAGGACCAGTGGATGAACTCCAAGCCCAGCGCTGTAAAGCCAGAGGTAAAGAGTGGTGGACTGAAGGCCAGCACCAGCGCCCCCTCCAGGCTGCCTAGTGCCAAAGTGCCACAGAAAGACATTCTGTTTGACGACAACGATGATGATGACGATCTGTTTGCAGCCACAAAAGAGACAAGGTTTGTGAAGTCATTTTCTTTACACCTCTTCTTTTTGTAACATATTTTCAGAGATTTTCAAAAAATACCTTGACTAACACTGGATTGTAATTTGTCCTTGCAGTCAGAAGAAGCCTCAAAGAGTCTCCCTCTTGTTTGAGGATGAAGATGATGAAGACAAAGGATCACTCTTTGGTTCCAAACCACCTGAAAACAAAACAACTCCAGAAGTCATAGTAAGTTATAGGCTAATAAAAAAAGGCATTGAGACATATCAACAATATACATACAGACACCAATCATGCTTTGTGGTCAGTTGAGCTGTTGGGTTTATTTGCAGTGCATCCATAATGATGAATATTAATGCAATCTATCAATTCCATGCAGCTTTGCTCACATGGAACTTTCTTTTATTCATCATTGCTGTGCCTGTAGCATTAGCTTGGAGCAGATACGTTTGGCATAAGAAGCACAGTCAAGTCTGCGACTATGGCATCAAGTCTCCCACAGGTCATATTAGATTTTAACAGAGTCTATACAATTGAACTATAACTATAGTTCCAAAGGCCTATCACAGATCATCTGTTGTGTAAAATTCAAAAAGATCATTTTAGCAATTAATACAGACTGGCCAGTGTGGATTGTTGTCATTCCTAGGCAACAGACATGGTGAAAACTGCAACAGGCCCTGGGTTGGCTGGTCAGCTGATGAAGAAGAGTTTTAAAAATGAACACGTCTTTTTCAGGTGCCTGCTGCCACCTCTCAGGCTCCCTCTCTTTTTGGCCCTGAGGACACAGAGAAAGCATCTGGAGCATCTGCTCCAGTAGATGATAAGGTTGCTGAGGAGAGGCCCTCAGACAAGAAGCCTGTGCAGACAACACCTTCACCTGAGGAGAGTAGTATTAGTAAGAAGAAGCCTGCTGGAGCTGTTAGCCTGTTTGGAGGAATTAATGTGCTAGGAGATGGACCAGAAACCTCCAAGGTAAGATAGAAGCTGCTGTGTTCACTTTCAAATGCTTGTAAATAATAGTTTTGTTATAGAAAATCAAATAACATCAGAAATCATGCTAGCTGGAAATGTGGTTATGTGTGTTTCAATAAATTCACATGTTCACGATATCTTCATATTTGCAGTGTTGATTTATTTGTGTGCCACAGAAGCAGACCAAGAGTCCATTGGATGGCTTCGATGATCTTGACTGGCATAAAGAAACTCCACCACCCATAAAGAGCAAGGAGAAAAAGGCCAAGAAAACCACACTCAGCCTGTTTGATGATGACGATGACCTTGACGATGAAGATGAACCTGATGAGACATCTCCCGTTTCCGTAGCAACCAAGACGACAGACAAAAGCACATTCAAGGTTGGCTTTGTCAGTTATCTAGAGAAATGTGTGTGTCAGTGAGTACAGTGGTGATGATGCTGGTTGTGTTTCAGTCTCAGGAGCAGAAACCTCATGTGAAGAGCACAGGTGTGTTTCAGGACGAGGAGCTTCTCTTCAGCCAGACGCAGCAGAGAGACAACGATCCAGACGTGGACCTTTTTGCTACCACTGCTAAACCTTCTGTGAGTTTAAGCCACAGTAACAATGACGCATTTATTCTGCAGATACATTATACACAGTTTTGCAACAGTTTAAACGCATGAGTGAGTTTTCATCCTTTTATTGTTCAAGAACTATTAATTTTAATTATTTATTCCTACGTTCAACTTAATATGCCTATTTTCAGTCGATGATAGTAGATGAAACAACACAAGGTAAAAGGTATAAGTTAAATCTACATAATTTAGTTGAATCTTTATTGTACTACCCAGCTGTGTAGTACAGTAGGGCAATTTTACTCACTAACAGCCAACAAAAATGAGGCTAGGTAGTTAGCCAAGGAGTTCAGGAAAGATGCACACAGACAGGAAGGTATAGACCAGGGGGAAAACAACACAAACAAGGTGAGTAAAACTAGTTAAACAGTATACAGATAGCTGGTGCCAGGAGCCAATAGGAAAGATGTGTTTTACTCTGTACGGTTGCACTGACCAAACAAACACTTATTAAGTACATGTAACTACTCACTGTATTTCATTGAAAGAACACAACTAACTTAATTTGACTCAGTTGTATGCATTTGTTAAGTAACATCAATGTGTGAACATTGATTAAAACCAACAGTAGAGTGATTTCATTTTTTTTGATGGAGGTGGGGAGTATTATAAAGGATGGCTGGTGTGTTGTGGTTTCAGGCCCCCTTGCCTAGCTCAGCAAAGCCTGCTGCTCCTACACTGTTTGGGGATGATGACGATGATGATGACGACCTGTTCAGCTCTGCAAAGCCAAAAGCTCCTCCGGTACTATGTTTTGATTCAGTCTAACTTTTACTGGGTCTAGTGTGTATGTATTTTGTATATGTATGTATGTGTGTGTTGGGGGGGTGGTAATTGATATGTTACAAAATTTTGAAAGTAGAAAAATGGGGTGTGCATATGATTCTTATGATGTGATTTCTGAATTTAGAAAGTACCACAGAAGCCCAGTAAACCTAAAAAAGATGAAACTGACAAAGGTTCAAGTACAGCACAGTCAACCCAAAATGAGGTATGGTTTATACAAAAGTTATTTTAATGTAATTAAGATTTTTTTTAAATCATCCTTACAGAGCTGCATTTTGAGAATGAAAAACCTTCTTTGATGATAATCATAATGCAAAGCTTAAGAAGTTTTATCAGTTATTTCAGAAAATGGTTTAGGGCTCAACTGATATGAAAATTCTGTGACCGATACTAATCTTAAGAGAACAATATCAGTCAGTATAATTTATATTTTAGATTTTGTTTTTAAAATGCTATAGTTTTAGTTAAGCAGTGCTTTATTGACTAATGTTGTCATTTCTCATCTGGAGCACTTTTTAAACTCACATAAACAACAGAATCTTACATTCTTAATGAATGCAAATATTTCAGCACTGGGGCAGAGCTGCCTAGATTTCTGTTATTTACCTATTTTTTTCTTGTTTTTTTTGTTAGTTCACTCCATAAAAGATATTTTGTAGATGTTATTATCATGCTAAAAGTTTGGCTACATTTTATGTTTTCATTATTCTATGCATGATGGTGTTTTGTGTTAAGATTTACCTGTTCAAGTTGTATTTCTAATATATATTTAAATGGGGACGGCATCTGTCCTACTCTGGCTACCCCTGTGGCACAAATAGCGAGTTTGAATCCTGGCAATAATGCAACCAAAGAGTTAATAGGGCTGATTATTGACATGTAGGTGATTTGTTTTTGTTTTTTAAACCACTGATAAAACTGCTAGTTATCAATATTGTCTGATATTATCAGCCAATGAATATATCGGTTGGGCCCTAACATGGTTATTTCAGGTTATGCCCACAGACTCACTGTGTCACTGTAGTTGGTCTCACTGTCGTATAACAAATAGGGCCTATTAGGAAGTACGTAGTAAGATCTGTTGAAGTACTACTACAGCATTTAGCAACATATGTTGAGGTAGCTTAATTAATTTGGTTGTTTTACTGAAATGTAACCAATGTCATTAATTGCACAGAAGCCTGCAGGCCCTGTTAAATCTAAAGAAACCTCCTCAAGGATTGGGAAACTTCAAGTAAAGTTTAATTAATGACTCTTTGTTCCTGTCGCTCTATAAGAGTCCTTTCAACCTTTCTGTTCCTTTGCTGCTGCATCCTTTTTGAATATAATGTTATTAAAAGAAATGGGTCCTGGCCATTTTACTTTCGGCACCTGACTGAAGTCAGATCCTTTTAAAAAGCTTTAAGCCTATATTCTAATATTGTGCAGACATTCTTGTAATATTCACTCTATAAACACTGAATACTGCATGTATCTTTGCTTCCATGGCTTCTTGCCGATGCATTTGTTGCTTGTTGCTGATGCATTTGTTCTTGTCTCTCTGTCTATGGCATGTATCAAAATATGACATTCTGCAGTGGCTGCGCTAAAAACTATAGCTCTTAACATGTTTTTTCCTGTTTGTGCATCCAGTTTTTAAGCGTCAGGCATATGTTCAGTTTCCAGTAATGCTTTTAAACTAACGCCACAAGACCCATTTTTCCTGATGGGCATCTTAATATTTGTGTGCAACTTAATAAGCGTGATGCCATATCTGAACTTTCAAACATCATCTCTCCCATCAGGCCAACTTGGGGATTAACCCTGCCAGCCTCCTGCCAGGAGCTGGGCCACGGGTGCCGGGAGCAGTCAGTGTAATTCCAGGCCTGGCACCCTCCCCTTCAGCCCGAGCTGCAGGGCCACCGCCAGGTTCCGCTGGCCGCCCTGAGCTTCAGGCTCCTAGCGAGGGAGGGGTGAGCTTTGACACACCGGCTCAGGTCACCACACTACAGAACGCCAACAAGGTGGGTTAGGCTGTGCCTTTGGGGCTTAGAGAGGATAAGATGGAACAAGACATGCATTATGAAGTTCTGTGGTTGTTCAGTACTGCAGGATTGCAGGATTTTTTTGTTTAGCTTTTTGGCAAATTAAAAGTCAGTAAAGTTCTTTAGAAATATTCCTTCTTTATGCTGTTAAATTTTAAGAACAAATATATATATATATATATATATATATGAACATAAAACAGCTTTGTTTTAATATATGGGTATATTTTTCAACCACTTCATGTTCATCATAGAGTCTTTGATTTGAATGTTTTCTTTTCCAAAGCAATGGCTTAAACAACTGTAAGGCTTTACTAGTACTGAGCAATGAACCAGGGGTAAAATGCAAGGGCTATGGGGTCATTCCCAAAGTACTTCTTTTCTCAGTTTCTTTTTTTTTCAGGAAAACAGTCACTAATTATGGCCAATTGTCCCAGAAAGAAGTAAAAGTGTTCCCCAAAATTAAAATTTTGATGACTCTTTTTTTTGAATAATTTGATAAATTGAATTAAAAGGGGTCAGCTACCTCAAAATTAATGTTCTACACCTTGATTTAGAGAAGACTTATGTCTTTTTTCAGTGCTCTGTTGAGACCTATTTTGTAAGGCCATTACTTCAAACCCTCTCCTCTCCTGTTCAGGACCGTGCTAAAGGCGCAACACGACGGCGGCCCCAGACTCGAGCAGCGCGGCAGCTGGCAGCCCAGCGCTCTGAAGAAGCACACAGGGACATCCAGGACGAGAACTCTTCTCCCCAGGCCGCTTCTGGGGGTGGATCGGCTTCCTCAATGCCCTCTTTCAACCCTGTCTCAGCCAGACCCTCTGCCCTCACCCTGCCCATAACCACCACCTCCACAGCGCCTGCACACAGACATTCTGATGAGTCTGTCAGGCCAAAGATGCCCCCTGCTGCTGCTGCTGCTGCTGCTGCTGAGGAGGACCTGTTTGCCTCTGAGGACCTCTTTGCTTCTGTTTCGATCCCTAAACGCACGCCCTCCCCTCAACCCAAAACAAAGCCCATTGAGACAGTTCCTGATGGAGCCTCCAAGAGAGATGCTGGTGTAGCCTCAAAAAAGGACCCAACCTTGTCCATCTTTGATGACCATGGGGAGGACCTCTTTGCTACGGTCAAGCCAAAGCCAGTCAAGAAGGCCAAGGGTGTGCCTTTTCTTGATGATGATAATGATGATGACATCTTCAGAACAGAGAAACGAAAGGAATCTAAGATGCTGAGTGATTCAGCCAAACCAGACATTTTCCAGGTAAAGTAACTTTTAAGCCTATTTCTGGAAGGTTTAATACTAGGGGTGTAAATCTCAGACCTGACGATTTGATTTGATTACAGTACTTTAGGATAACAGTTTTGTGCACCATGAAATCCCACATTTCAGCAGTTTGGTTGGATTGTTTTGATTCAGACTTACTTTAAAAATACACTGAACACACAAATATGACTTATATAACAGAATATAGAAATGATAATAAAAACAATACACCACACTTTTTTTTTTTTGGATATTTTGGCCAAAAATGGAGCACACATTTTATTCAGTATTACTCTGATTCATTACAGTTTATTCTAACATTCCACAGTCAATGCAGTTAAATCAGCATCTGAACCCAGTACAAAGAGCACAGAGAGTTTTCACGATCATTATGTGCTGTGGTATTTGTACTCCTGGGTGTCTCCATCACTGACTATATATTGTCTTAACAGGATGAAAAGGACACACCCTCTAAAACTCCTAAAAAACCTAAAGAAGCATCCTTGGATGCGAGCTTATTTGATGACGATGTTGACATTTTTGCTGATTTGACTCCCACAATGAAGACAAAAGGGAAGAAAGTGAAGAAGAAAGTGGAAACTAAATCAATATTTGATGATGACATGGGTGAGTTACTGCTACAGTCACACAGATACCGTTAAACACACACACAAACACACATGCACAAACAGACTCAGAAGATGTTCACTGCTATTTCTGCTCTTTGCAGATGATATTTTCTCATCTGGAATCACAAAACCAGTAGCGGCCCCATCTTCCAAGCCTAAGAAGCCCACCCAGGAACCCAGCTCAGCAGAAGAATCGGGTCACAGTATTTTTGATGATCCTCTTAACGTGTTTGGTGGAAACTAAATCTCTGAAATCCTCCATTTGTATAACTGTGTAGAGATGTTTATCGGATTCACAGAGACTAGAACATACTGTATTAACACTGTTCATAGATAATTTATAAATTCTGGAAAAATATCCTTATGAATAGATGATGATGACAAAACTCAAGTAACCTCTAATGGCATCTAGAAACTCATCTCTCATCAGTAGGCAACATAGCAGCCACAAAGTGCTATTTAGATCAATGTTTTTTAATTTAATTTTCAGCATAGCACTTTAAATATGAGATTATTACTTGCGCATCATATAAAGTCAGATCCATTTGATTGTGAATGGATACATTCCTCTGACATGGTCATCTGCAAGGTTTAATTTGCATTCTTTTGCATCAGGTTGTGCCATATAACTCTTAACGATTGTCTTATGATTAGTGCTCACTGTCTTTTGATGCTGTTTTTATAAGTTTTTTGTGTTGCATGTGAAATGATTTTTGTAAACTAAAGAAAATATATTTTATGAAATTTATAATGAGTGAAATTATTTTTCACAATCCTCTCATGAACAGACCACCAGACTGCAGCATTGTGTATGTATGTATATATATATATATATATATATATATATATATATATATATATATATATATATATATATATATATAATTGTGTTCACAGCTGTAAATGTGTAAATGCATCCTGAGCTGTGGGGTCCAAGACAATGTGCTGCAAAAGAGTCATCATTTAAAAACACTAATAAATGTGGGAGTGGTTGTACAGTGAACACCTGTGATGTATTACTTACTTACTGACTTTGCTTAATGGCAGTTCAAACCTAGTTAAACATAATTAAACCTAGTTTCATACTGCAGCTATTTTGGGAATATTTATCTGTCATTAGAGTTTGGCTCAATTAAGGAGATCAATTTTAGAACCTCACAGGTGTGTATTACAGAAGATAGTTACAGGAAAAAAATAAAGTGAGCTGAGTAGGAGGAAAAATAAGTGCAAGTAAATGTCATGAAGGCCATCTCAACTCTCTACTTACTACATCAGGTTTCTGTGGAGTCACCAGCAGTAGAGGAACATGCCAATATGGGATGCAAGCAAGGAACATTTGGTAGTTAATAGTTTTGGTAAATCTTATGCAAGAGTGATTCATAATCATGTTGGATTTAGTAGAACAGGATTCTGATCTACTGAACGAAAGGTCTATTCTGAAGCTATAGCAATCTAACTGCTGTTCCGTTTAATAACTTTCTTTTATTAATCAGCCGTCTTTATATAAGAAATCTTCGTAGATTAAATATAATAGATTGGATAGATAGATTGTCCTGTTAAGCTGCATCTCTAGGTAGCAAAGTAAGTCACGTGTAGATACGGCGTGTAAATTGTTGTTAGAAACCAGAGCGAACATCCGGGAGACGCTGGAAAGTCGCTCCGGAACGACCCGACAGGAGTTAGTCCCACCCTCTCTGCGCCTTTATTGGATCACAGTGTCTTTTTGACGAATAAAGCTTGACGCCATTCGTTCTCACTCCTGTCAATCATTGTGTGTCACAATAGACCGATTCCATTACCACCGTCTCCGGGAGAAACGAGAGCGGACCGTTTCATGGAGAAGAGGCCCTGAACCGCTTAGCAAGACCACAGCGGTATTTAGAAACGCCATAAAGTGCTTCATAATTGGGATATTTTTACTTTTTACGAAAATACGGGGCGGGGAAAAGGTTAGAGAGTAAGCTAGCTAGCTGAAAGCCACAGGCTAGCATCAACAGCTGTAGCCGTCGTTAGCTTTTGTATGCTAACGCCTCTCTACTAAACACTTTAGTTAACGTTAGCTTGCGAGGTTGGCTGGCTAGAGCACTTCTTAGTTTGTTTCATTTACTGACACCATTTCCTGTTTACCGTCATACTTTCTTTCGTTGACTGAATCCCTGTAGGTTACAGATGCATTGTTGTTTATCGACTGGGACGTCCTTCACCGAAAACTGCTTTCTGTGGCAGTGACGGCTTTCTTCTCCTAGTTCAGTCCATCACTGGATCGCAGGCTCCTCCGGTGGTGATGCTGTAAAGGTAAGACATCCCTGGCTGAGGGCTACGAGTTTGCTGTGGTTTACTTTGGTTTGGTTTCTTGTAGTGTCTGGGTTACTGGCTCCGTCGTCTAAAGCGCATATTCAGTAGCCTGCTTATTCCCTCAAAGTTGTTTCAAAGTCAAATCGTGGTGGCGTTAAATTGTTTTGTGGTAAAATCAATATTGTGATCACCATTCGTTGAGATTCAGGTATTTTTATCGGATAAAATTGTACGTTTCATTTTGGTGTACCTGGTTAACATATATGTTACAATTATTAATATATTTGAAACCCATTTATATAGCGGAACGCCTGTCATCTACCTAAATGCAAAACCTGAACTGCACCTGATGTCGATGATTTTATTTGACAGGCGTGATTTAAGTGATCTGAGTACTACAGAAAATAATTCCGATGTCACCAAATCACTCTTTCCCCATTCACCTATTCAAGAACACACAAATTATTGACCATAGAGCTTTTTAATTTTTGTGTTTGGCATTTTTAAAAGCTGCTACTTTTTTCAACAGATGTTTTACAATGCACTTATTCACGGTATATTTAACGTTTAAAGTGCTTAATCCTCGTGTGTTATGTAACACTTTAATTGAGTGCATTACATAGTGGCAAGCATTGGTAAAAGTTTAATGAAGCTTACATGTGTAATTGTGCTGAGTCTTAATCACAAGTTTGCATGACTAGTCTGATTGCTGATATGCTCTTATTGCCTCTTTAAACATTAAACAATGGCTTCTTTTTTCTTTTCTCGTGCTACCAAACTTTGTATGCAAAGTACAAAATTACAATTTAAAAAGGTTCAATTGGAATGCAGTTTGCTGTGGTGATATGATAGTGTGCTCTCTTTCAATGTTTGCGAACAAAGTCTTGAAACAGTAATTAAATTGATTTATTTGTTTAACAGTCAGGGCCCAGTTTTCCAAAAGGATTTCTGTATTAAGATCACCTTAACTGGTGGAGAGAGTGTTCAGTGTGATGCTCGCTCTACCATTTAAGAGTTCTCTTTGTGCTGCAATGTTGTGGGAGACCCAGCCCAGTTTAACAGTTTTGTGTGTTGCACAGATCAAACAGTGTGTCCTGTATCTTTTCCACAGCAGGAGCTCTGTGCATGATGAGTGGCCTGGAGGACGGTGGTGAGTCCACAGCCCTCACTCCTCCACTCTGGGCAGGTTTAATCTCGTTCTCTCCCTGAGTGCCTACCTCTCCACACGAGCATGGCTGACAAGAAGGATCCGCCTTTTTTCAATGATGATAACTTTGGGGTTGTCCATTACAAGCTGCCCTTCTATGAGACCATGGAGCTGTTCATAGAGACTCTGACTGGGACCTGCTTCCAGTTGAGGGTTTCTCCGTTTGAGACGGTCATCTCGGTCAAAGCCAAGATTCAGAGACTGGAGGGTATGTGTGCTTTCATGAATCATTTTTTAATAGTGCTCTCTAAATGTTTTGTTTGTTTTAATGAGACGTTGACTGCACTACCAAATGACACTATAAATACATTGCCAGCACTAAACCATAGTTTCTCTCCTTGTTGGCTTGCATCCTAATTTGTTCTTATTTGTGATTTTGTAAAATAGATATAGAGTTACGGTACAGCACACTTATCCATCTTGCATAATACAGTTTGTCATTAATCCTACACAGATGATGAATTGCAAAGAAGGACTGCCTTTATTTTGAGGCAAATCCCAATATTAATAATAATAAAAACTAAATCTTCTAAAAACACACTGAGTATCCTGACCAACCTCCACTGTTCCAGATGAGTGTCTTTTTTTGGGTGTTTGGATTTTCCAGCAGATTTTTCTCAAAACAATGAATTGTCACATCAATAGGGACACTAGTGTGTTATTTAAACTTTTTTAACGACGTAGCAGTATAGTATATAAAGTAATCACAGTATGGTATTTTGTCGGTATCACGCAGCCTGTGTGTTGCAGCCTGTGTGTTGCAGCCTGTGTGTTGCAGCCTGTGTGTTGCAGCCTGTGTGTTGCAGCCTGTGTGTTGCAGCCTGTGTGTTGCAGCCTGTGTGTTGCAGCCTGTGTGTTGCAGGCTGATGAAGCGCCCTTGGAAACAGAGACATTCAACAGATGCGCAATGTTCTTAGTAATTGAAGTTGTTAAACAAAGGCATTCATTCCTGGTTCATGTGTTTCATCAGTTTAACACATGAACGGTCAAAAAGGAGGAAGGAGAACTGATCTGCTCTCTTCCTGTCGTGCAAAGCTACTAGTATTACTCAGTAACACTGTTGCCAAAGCTTCCCCACTGTCTTTGGAACTCATTTTAAGTCTTATAAATGGGATGAGTTCTTGGAAATATATTGCAAAGAACTCTTGAGAAAGAAAGGACTACTTCCCTGAGCTTCCTGTGAACAGAGTTTCATTTGCTTTGGTGAAACAGCTTTCCCGTCCCTGTTAAAAAGAGATAAGTGTCTCTCAGGGAGCAGAACACATTAGGTTTATTTCAGTCGCCTGCAGTTTAATTCAATTATTTTGTGTCTCACATAATGAGTTAGTGTACTTAGTTTGTGTTGCTGATTGACACCATACACTTCAGTTACTTTGCCTCCCAGAGGGGGAATGTGTGAGCTTAGATTGGTGTTCTATAAAATATGCAGCTCTGTAAACATGCCAGACTCTGTGGTGCACAGAGCTGTGCCTGTCTACCTCATGTGCTGATTAGCTTTGAGGTGTTAGACAGCACGCGCTGTGCTGGCTGCTGTTAGGCTGAAGTGAGCTTAGCTCTTTGCTACCGACTCCACGTGAGTTTATCTGCTCGTCTGTTTGGTGCTGGTTAGAAGTGAAGTCAACTGCTTTCTTAACTAGTCCTGGGGATGTGTAGGTATATTTCTGAGATTATGATATAATTCAGTCTACAGGAGAAAGGACAGATTTTAGATGAATGCTTAGAAGAATTGAAATTGCACCTGCATTTTACAGAACTGCAAACGTGAATTAAAGAAAGAGCATCAATGCCAAGAGAATTCTGTTCCACAGAAGCATGTGCATGGATGAGATTTATAAAGGAATAGATGAAGAAATAATAAATCACGTAACAGAACACAATTTGTATCAGTATCTTATTTTATTGTTGATGTTGATCATTGCTGCATTGTAGGATCTGTATTTTGAGTACACACCATACAGATAACCCCAGAGCTTCCTTTTTCCAGATCAGCACACGGCTCTGAGAACATGGAGCACAGAACAAGACTGGCTATAGGACTGGATTAATATGTTTCCACCATATTTGAGGAGGTCTTTCCCAATGCAAAATTACTCAAAAGAGATACTGAATAGATGTTTGTCCTATCTTCTCTTCTATTAAGAAATCTTGACTCTTAGTTTAGGACCTTCTTACCTAACAGGCTTTCAGATATTTAATACTTAATCTAAAAATGATAGAATAATCTTCATATAACTATATTTTTAGATTAGGGATGCATGATAATATAAGATTGAGATAATATGAAACAAAGTTGGACACCTCCTTACCATCTGCAAGGCACTGGCCAGTGTGAAAGATTTAATCAAACCCACTGTGATTTACTAAGAACCTCCCACCAGCCAAGAAGAGCAGATGGGTGGAGCATCTCCCAGTAGTAGTGTTTGCTTTTAACACCGCAAAGCATTCATGCACTAGGGGTACACCATATTTCTTGATGTTTGATCAGCCCCTCAATTTACCAATTGACATTCTATTAGGCATTGACAAGGAAAACTCCTCTAGAACCAGAGAGGAACACCAAAATCGCCTACAGGAGACCTATCAGCAAGCAAGAGAACATTTAGAATATGTAGCAGAGATGTAAAGGAAACATCATGGTGTGCCAACTCTGTTCACTGCGGGTTGGGCAGCTGGTGTATACCTAGACCCACAGTTTTCGGGGGAGGCATACAATACAAGATCTGGAAATGAAGTGAAGTCACAGTTGAAGATCAGGAAATTAGTACTACACCTCAACAAATACAAGGAAACAAGGAAAGATGCTTATCCTCTCCCAAGAATTGAAGAATCGTTGAATGCGATAAGTCGTGGTGCTCAGTGGTTTTTAACCGTAGACTTAGCCAGTGGGTATAATCAAGTAGATGTGGCAGAAAAGGACAGACATAAAACTGTATTCTGCATACCATTTGGTCTCTGAATTTAAAACAGTGCCTTTTGGTTTATATAATGTGCTGGGAACATCTCATGGAGAAGATTTGTGGAGTCCAATGTTTTCAGTCATTATTATATTTAAACGATGTGGATATTGGTATCGGGAGATGATTGCTTAGAAAAAATATCAGCATTATACAGATGTTTAGATTTGACTGATGTTCGATGATGTATTTATTGTACTCTGGAAGAGCAGAATGTTTAGGTGATGCTGGGTTACGGTGTTGAAAAGAGCATCTGTAACCATGTAGAGATAAATGTTATGCTTCTGCAAATGCTATTCTACAATTTATTAATGTTTATCCATTGGCATTGGCAGATACATACATGAAAGGTATCAGATATTGCCATTGGCCTACAAATCCCTATTCATTTAATTAGTGGTGTTTTCTCTTCAAAATTTGCTTTGTTGTCACCCCCTCTCTGCAATGTATTCAAAAATGCAGTGCACCAGAACATTTTTGAGCAAGAGTCATCACAGACTTTGAATGACTGCTTTCTTTGATGCTTTAATGATACCATTGAGACTTAGGTTTAACTGGACTTGATTACACACATGCTTTAATATTTTATCTGCTAATTATGCTCTTTAAACTAATCTCAGGTCCTTTGGGATGCAGAGCAGCTCAGGTTAGCAGTAGTAAGTCTCCTGCTTTAACATAATGAGAATAGAACTCCCTCACACTCAGCAGTCGATTCAGCAAATGATGAAAACGCTGTGAGGTCAATCCAGTTGCTGAAACTAAGTGGTGACACCATATACTTTCTTTACTTGGTTTTATAGATAAATGTATGTGTCGTCTTTTTCAGTAATGTAATTTTAATACTAGCTTACTATTTTACTTTTATTAAATTTAGATTGAGCAAAGGAATACCAAGGAACAGCTGACAATGCACTGATTCAAGCAGAAGAATTCTTTTACGAAGTGGATTTCTACAATGACCAAGTCATATTAATTTAGTACCGTTTCACAGTAGCGTTAAGCAGAACGTGCTTAAAGAAAGTAAACCATAAATTTATTCTCATCACAGCAGTGAAGTTCATTGATTATGCCTCTCTTGTATGTGAAGCCCACTTCCCTCACTCTGTTGGGATCCTTGATACCATAGCTGTGTTTTTTCCATACAGTATTGTCTCCCAAAAGTCTAGATCCATTCAGGTGTGTGATGCAGCATGAGTGTATTTAGGAGCAGAAGAACATGATCAGGCAGGTTTCAGAACAATAGACAAGCCCAAACCCCTGCTTACTGTATCTCACACATATAACCTGTCTGTCCACTACACCAGGAGTGTCAAGCTAAAGTCCCGAAGGGCCATAGCTCTGCAGAGATTAGTGTTTTCCCTCTTCTAACACTCTGATTTCAACGCATGTAGGCCTTAGCTGAAGAGCTGAAGCAGATATAGTGTGAGGACCTCAAAACTGGTGTTTTTCATCTGGAGTTTATTTTGTATATATTTATAAAGGTCGCCAGTCATCATCATGTTGTTGTTGTTGTTGTTGTTGTTATTATTATTGTTATTATTATTATTATTATTATAATAATACACCATCATTTACAATTATTGATGATCAAAAAATAAACGATGATTTCATTAATAACATAAAAGATCAGTCTTTGTGCTGATGGTGTACGTCTTGTGTGCCAAACATGAACTAAGCCACTGGACTGTTTGTGTGCAAAAGTTTACACACCCACTGTCATTACATGTTTTGTTGATTTTCTAACTTAACACATCCTCTACACACAGTCAGTTTGCTGAATTTAACATATTGCTGGTTATGGCACATTTTGTTTTATTTTTTTCCAGTATTGTAAACTTAAGCAAAAAAAAGTGCACTGAAATTTGTGGAAAATGCCATATTTAATTGGTTCCCTGTAGAGCATGTGTAAACTTACTTTCACTTTGAAAATCAACAGAACATGTCATTTGACTTGGTGTTTAAACCTTTGCATATGACTGTTTGTCTGCTGAATCACATTGAATATGTTTTAATTATTTACAGCACTTCTTAACAAAAGTGCTTAATTACAGATACAGGAATTTATATCATGGGTACTTTGAGCCCCACCAAAGTCATCTAAAATATTCCTTTTGAATATTGAGTGGGTTGATATCTGTCGAGTGTTCACGCACTTACAACTGCTAAAGTATTTGCTGTTCTGCAGAGTGTCCTGTGCTTCTGTTTAGTGAAATGTACATATTAAGTGCTGATTACCACAAATGTATCGCCCAGAAAGATTACAAATACAATGTTTTATCAACCATGTAGGCCTGCCACCTCTGTAAAGGTGAACTTGTTTCATGATCCTGAAATCCCCTTTTGTCATAACTTTTATTACTTTAGTTGCCAGTTTTCACTGTGGATCATTTTTGTCTGGAATCATACTGAGTCAGTGAGGATAGAAAACATAATTTAGCCCCTTTCCCCTTGCTAAACTAGATAATCTAATTTCGAAGTATTAAAGTTGTCACTAACGCTTGTGTTTCAGTGCTGTTATTATTGCCTCTTGTTGGTTTAAAATGGACTATGAACAGTGCGAAAGGCGCCGTGTGCTGAGTAACTTGCTTATTTTGGTGTGGCTCGCTCTGGTATCTCATTGCTTCATAAACCTGTGTACTATTAAAAGACAAGATTCCACTTGACCTCATGCTGAATATGTAGTCTTGAGCAGTTCACCATAGAGATTGTTTGTTTGATTTGGTGACTTAACAGATAGGAGCTGCCTGAAGACTATAACTGAGATGTGTAAAACTCTAGACTCCTAATAACAAAAGGAACAATAACTCAAAACATGTGCCTCTTGCCTTTCTATAAGAAGCATTTGATGTCTGGCATAACTTTAATATGCTTGTGATTTCACACTATCATTCTGACATTTATGTCTTTTGGATTTAATGAGCCATGCTTAAAGTTGGGTTATTGTTTGTAGTTATTGGATGTATATAATGTTATATTATGTGTTTTGGTTCATTATTTTTCTATGAAGTAAGCCATGTTTGTATGCTTTCAGTACATATGCAACATGATTATCATGGAAATATATTTTTTTTATTATATTTTAATGACAAGCTTGTCCTATTTGAGGTTAAAATGCCTAGCAAATTCCTCTTAGTTAAGGTTATTGATTGCCCGGAATATAAATTGATCATTATTAAAATATTTTAGCAAGTGCATTTCTATTTGTGTTTTTGGCTTCTTTACTAATATAAAGAATTTATTGTTGACTGTACATTTAAGGAGCCTTTTTGGGTGGTCCAACCAAAGTGTGTGAGCCTCAGCCTGCGGGGCTTAATTATACTTCAGTCACTGGTGACAGTGATAGTGGTGTCATCCAGTGGAAACTGTTAAATGAAAAAAGGTTATTTTGTTTTGATTGAATGCTCTAGACATTTCTTAGTATGTGTAATACTCACACAAGCCTGTTTCCTTTGTTAACATTTTGAAGCCAATACACTTGAGATTTTAAGGCAGTATAAGACATAATAAATGGTGAATTTGTGTGCTCATGTCAAAGGTGCGCGTTTTCAAGAGAGACAACCAACCATTTTAATACATTGAGAGGAGACCATTGTCTAGTGACTCATCGTAAACTAACACTGTGCATCATTAGCATCTTAAAACTGCTCGTAAACAAAAACACCTGAGGTAGTGTAATGAGCAAAATAAGGCCATAGAGCACTGAGAGAAAGTAATAAGGTATGATGAGTCATGTCTTGTTCTTTTCTTTTTTCATCTGGATGGGTTTGTCTTTTCAGAATGGAGAGATACAGCGAGAGAAACCAAAGAAGCTCTCAAGCCACACTGCCTTCTCTCAGCAGTTCAATATGAATTTATTCTGTTTGGTCCTGTTCTGCACTGATGCTGAAGGCAGCCCAGTTCCGTATTACAGATGTATCCATATTGCTTGGTGTATGAATTTCTTGTTGTGTGTGTGTGTTTTAAAAAGTAATTGAGTTAGTTGGAACACAGGTTTAATTCCAGATTTCTTCTTAAGTGTTGATTAGTTAAACCAGGTATTGGAAGGTAACTGCAATATGTACTGGGCTGCCATGAGGAGAGGTTTGTAAATAAATCACTACTTACTGTATTGATATTCTAATTTTATTAGTGTTTTTTTTTCTGAGCAGATGAGCGCTTACAGTCCAATTCAATACCTTTTTAAATCTAATTTTCTCAGGTATCTAAACCTTCTGCACAGTACTGTGTGTTATCTCATCTGAATAGAACTTTATGTGAAAGACTGATTTCATGGTCACAGCTTAAACTTGGCCCTGCAATAAAAGTGATTTCCAGTGGAGAATTGCCACTTGTATTGAATACTGCCTCCAGGTTGTTTAAAACATGTTTTGAATGAGGGGAGCTATGTTTTATGCTAGAAGAGTAAAATGACAAATTCCTCAGTATGTAATCCTCTTCATCCTGATTGTTCACTGTGATTGCGTCTACAATTTTCACAGCTTTGCTCTGAGAAGCTTTTTGTGTGCTGAGCACTCCTGGGTTAATTGTGGCAGTGCCTATAGTTGAAAAGCCGTATACAAGTAAAACTAAAAGAATGAATTGAACCAGTAAATTACTGCTCTGATTGATGTGTGTGATCTACAGAAGGGGGCAGCACTAAGTCATGTTTGTTCTGTTGAATGTCGGCTCACGGAGGATGTGTGCTTTAACTTATGACATTATGAGAACTGTGGTTGGCTTTGTTCCAGGTGTTTCTCCAGTGCTTCAGTTGAATTTCATTTTTGGAAGTTGCTATTGTGATTTAAATTTAATCGCTCTTCCTCTTTCTGACTGTGAAGTGAAAGAGTAGTGACGTGAATTTGTGTAGTTTTTAGTAAACTTGTGTGGACGGTTGGTAGGAGTGCATTTTTGTCCATGACACAGTACACTTCAGATGTCCCATAATATTTTGTTAAATGATTGTTACACTACGAAGACATTTTTGCCCTGCTTTGCATTGCAAGCTGCCGCGTGATGTTCCATGTGACTTCACTGATATTATTAGCTAAGCACCTGTGATCATGCAGGTGGAAGCTCATGGGGCTGTGTGAGTTATGAAGCAGTCCTGCAGAATGATAGTAATCCTGCAGGTTTACTTTTTCATTTCTGTTGTACACACCACAGCTTGTCCTCAAGAATGCTCACCGAAGGTTAATGCTGTATGTTCAGAATGGTCAGAGCACAGTGTATGCAGTTTGAGCTTTTGCTCACAGCCTGTACCTTTCAATACCTTTCGCATTACGATACAAAAGCCATCAGTAGAACTGTGCCCTGCACCCCATACCCAAACGTTTGCACAGTTCAATGTTTACTGTGTTTTGCTGTGTAGATGTTTATTAATACAGACTCACTTCCTGTTTTTGTTGAAGGTATCCCTGTTGCTCAGCAGCATTTGATTTGGAACAGCTTGGAACTTGAAGATGAATACTGTTTGCATGACTACAGGTATTGTATTTTAAATAAATAAATGCATTTTCCTTTGTTGTACTTTGATTAGGAAGGACACTTCAGTACACAGGCATTTTGTAGTTGTTACTGAAAGCCACATCAAGTGAAATTGCTGAATTCCCATGTTTTGAGATCGTTAAAAACAGTAATGTCTCTCAGGATGAGGTTGCAGCTGGTGGCTTGTCGTTTAGTTTTCTGCTTGGTGGGAAACTATTATGTGGCTGGATCCCACATATCCACAAGTGTTTCTGATGTTATGTGATGAGCACGTTTTTGTACATAGCTGTGGGGAATTAGAATGAATTGATGTTCAGGTAAAATTCTTGTACTTTTAGAGTCTCATGGAATAGTGTTATTTGGTTTGTAATAATAAGTGACTGTCACTGTCATTTCAGCATTACAGAAGGCTGCACTCTCAAGCTGGTCCTTGCCATGAGAGGTGGGCCTATCAACACAAGACGAGGTATCTGACCAAGCCGAGAGTACATTGAAGTATTTTTATCAATTTTCATCAGAAGCAAAATAAGTTAATGAGTTTTGTGTAGATGTTTTGTATTGGTGCTGAGGTTAGAGGGAGAAACATCTTTGTTAAAGAAAAAATGAAAGTACATAGACTTGTGTTGTTCATAAATTGTTGTTTATTTTTAATGGATGGCTTCGTTTTGCCCTTTGTTTTGCCCTTCTTTAGTGACTGTGGATGAATCAGTGAAGGAGACGTCCGAATGCTTGGATTCAAGGAGGGATGAGGTGTGGGAAAAATCTCTGTCTAATAAACAGGTGACCTTCCTGGTGTACAGAGAGGGCGACCAGCTCAACTTTTTCCGGGTTGTGGACCGTGGAGATGGAACCCTCACACCTGTGTCTGAGTCACTAAGGTCTGTTCAGAGTAGAGAAATCACATGTTAAGAGAAGCTGCTCCCTCTAGACTCTTGGATTGCTTTTTTTGGTTTTTTGGTTTTTTTTTAAGATGGAAACAGATGTTTGCAGAAGCTAACTTTTTATGACTTGGCAGTTTTTTTTGTCACAGAAGGAAATAGTAATGAAATAATGATTTCACAACCTTATATATTTACAAATATGAACATTAATATTCCGAACAGAAGAAAAATGAGAAAAGAGAGGTATATTAGGTATATTAGAGATGAGTTTTCCCCCCCCATAGTGGGTTGTGAAACAAAAGGGTTGTATGAATTGCCAGAAGCTGTGCTCTTGTGCATTTTTGTTTATCCTCAAACAAACCAAACCCAGTCCGTGCCAGTTTTGGTTAGAAATAGTTTTCTATAGGAATTTTACACTCTGACTTAAGGTAAGTTTAGTCATAGTTTCCAGACATGTGAGCCAGTACAAGGAAGAATATTATGTATTACGTTTGTTAGCTAATAAGGAAAAGTAGATGATGTTGCTGGCAGACAGATTCAAATTCATTAATTGTACAGAATAACAAAACAGTGTTAAATGCTCTTGGCAGGGCTTATTTTACTTAAAGTCTAAAGTTAAATTTGGTTGCTTTAGTATGTTAACTACAGGCCAACCTTACAACCAAACAAGGAAGTAACCGTTGCTTAGTTGTGCCCTGTGAAGAATGTACCTTTGTCAAAAGTGGTTCAACTGTCTGATGAAAGAAATTGTAATTCAGAGTAAGAGTGTGTTCATCTCTGGTAAAAAATTGCGCATTCTCTGCAGTAACAGAATTTAGAATAAACAACTTGAGACAGCACTGAACATGCTTCAAGGGCTTGAAGTTCAAATAAATGATTTATTTCAATGGGTTTCTTTTTCAGTGGTGGTTCTGTGCACAACGTGTATACTGAGGAAGAAGAAGATAGTGTGAGCACTTCCTCTGGTCAGCTATCGCTGGAGAACTCCATCACCATGAACAAGATGAAGCTCCTCAAAGCCAAGATGGAGAATATGAACCTCAACAAAAAGGTACCAGAGGAATGACTGTGATACTACTTAACATCATTTTATGTGGTGCATCCAGTTTTTCATTCTTATATTTAAGCAGTGACTTGCTGCTGGAGCAGCATAAAACTGCAGTGTTAAAGAAGCCTACTCATCTTATCTGACACAGCAGGTGTCTCGAACACATGTAATTAGATTTGCCACTAAAAGCAGACTCTGAGTGAATGCAGTTTTCCAGCTGGCTGCAGGGGTGTCGCCTGGCCCACAGTGATTCTGATTAACCAGCTCAGTCATAAATACAAGCTCAGCAGATTGGCACATTGAATTAATTATTCACACTTAACATAGCACAGTCATTAGGATCTTGACAAATTGTTAGCACACTCATGCAAATGTTTCTTTATGTAGACTTAATAATTACAGTAAATGGTTGTTCATGTTGTTCAGCACCCACTTAAGCCTCTGACTGATTGTGTAAATGAATGTTTACATGTCATAGTCAAATGTTACCTGCTTTTGCATTTTTGTTTTTGAATTTGTGTTTCTTTTTTCAAGCCTAAGAAGACTGCTAAGTTGAAAGTCAGGCCTCCAGTCGGCCCCCGGCCTAGCAGTAGCTCTCTCGGCTCCGTCCGCCACCACCGAATGTTCCGTGTCCTTCCTCAGATCGGTCACGCCTCTGCAACAAATCTACCTCCAGTTGGTGACCAGCAGCAACCTGCAGCCCCCTCCTCTGCTGCCGGCCCCTACAGCACGCCTCTCACCTCTCACCTGAGTCCTGCATCTAGCAGAGCTATTCCCTCACTGACAGCTTCTAGCATATACATGCTTCAGGAGGAAGAGCCATGGAATAACCCCACCCCTAGGAAGATTAGACTGCCTCCCAAAGTGTCCAGGCTGGATGTGAGTGGGTCTAAGCTTATAAGAGACTGCGTGTACCCACCTCTCTCTGTGCTGTCTGGTCAAGACGAGGCAGAGCCGCAGAGTGACCGAGCAGCACTTGCGGAGGATGCGGTTGTGATAGAGCCTCCCAAACCTGTTCCATTTAACAGCCTGCTTCCAGAACCCCTGAGCCTGGATGTGTCCACTCAACGGGACGCCAGCCTGGACTCTTTAGGTTCTGTCGCCGAGCCCATGGCCGCACCTCCACTGCTGTCCCAAGCAGTGGGCTCAGACTCAGTCAGCACATGGGCTATAGGCACTAAAACACTACAGTCTCAGCCTGACAGTGACACATGGGTTATAGGCACTAAAACACTACAGTCCCAACCTGCACTTGGCTCCCTGCACCTCTCCGCCGAGCCACTAACTCCTCCACGCATGCCTCAGCCTTTTGAGTTCACAGGGGCCTCCCTGCGGGCCAGCCCATCTCACACCCTCCTCAGCACTAATGATACTCCTCCTGTCCCACCCCGGTCACCCTCGCAGGGCATCCCTCTTTGTGGCATCAAAATGGACTCTCCTGGCAAGCGGCTAGAGGTGATCTCCAAGAGCGAGGCGCGAGACATCACCAAGACCGCCAACAAGGCCTCCAAAGAGCTGCTGGGCTGTGTGAGTAACACAGAGCTGCTGGCCTCTCTGGCCAGCTCCAGGGGTAGAGAGAGCATGGCAGGGCCATGTGCGCTGGGCAGACTGTGTGGTGCTTCAGCCCCCCTGCCAGCTAGCATCCATCTGCTTCAAGAGGACCTGCTGCGCAGAATAAACCCCCTGCCGAAAGCAGCCGCATACATGGTGAGTGTACGTGACGTTCCAGAAATACAGAGATGTGTGCAACAGCTGTGTTCTACACACCTCTGTATTTTGCACTGCATCTGAGAACTCGGCTTTTGTTTGATCTCAGGATGGTGGGAGGTTTTATAAAATAAAGATTTTATTCGGTTTAACTTTCAGAAGATATTCAGATTTACTATAGTCTTCCTAGGCTGTGTTCAAACTAGTCATATTTTCCCTGAACCACCAGCGCATTTTATACAGGAAACCCTATTTTAAGAAAACGCTGCCTCTAGCATTTTTTTGTTAGAATGGAATAGTTTAAAAGTTTAAGAAAAGTTCAACTGTTCAGAAAAGTGCAGAGTAACATCAGTTTTGTGGTGTGGGTATTTTTTAATCATTCAGCCAATCAGGTTGTCGTTCAGTGGGCTGGAAGATGGAAGGTGGAGTGCATTTGTGGAAAAATAGTCTTGTTAGTTTGCAGAAGCACTCTCCTCCTCTTAATTAACTTCCTGTAAAGCCAAAGCTTTGCCATGGTTATGTTTAACATTGAGAAATTAATCTTAATAATAGTAATATTAATAATGATAGTAGCCTACTAGGTTATAGATGTTTGCTCCCCCCCCAGATATACATAGAGTAGGCTATAATGGATGCGTTTTCAACAAAATTCCACAAATTTACAAAATCATACTTTTCTTCAGCCATCAGGAATCCTGGGCTCGTTGAGCAGCCCCTCCAGTTCAATAAAGAGACAGGGTAAGTCTGTACACAGTCATAAAGCTCTTTGTCAGAAAGATGAATATGCCATAAATCATATTTCGCCATATATCACTGCACTATTGCCTTCACCAGAAGGTCTAATCATTTCCTCTGTAACAACAGTTTTTGCAGTTGTGCCTCTTTTGCTCTAAGTATTTGTGTCTTCCATGTGGAGACTCAACCATGGGTCATACTTCTCCAGTTGGACTGTTTTTAGCATTTTACAGCCACTCTTTCTCACACTGCTCAATCTCTCTGCATCCCAGACAACTATTTAATGCTACACTGCACACATTCAGAGGCATGTCTTATCACTTCTGGAGACTAGGAGGCTGCCAATGAACTGACGAATCTCTTTGCGTCAGAAACTGAACAGTCCAGACCTCAAAATGCTTTTTTCCCCACAGCTACGTTCATTATCTTAATGATAGGATGCATTAAGTTCTCATGATGAGGGTGACAGAATGTCACTGAGCTGTTACCTCAGAGGTTACCCACTGTGGTTTTAGTCAGAAATGACATGAATTATAAGTGGGCATTACCTCCTATTGTTATTTATGAAGTAGGTGTCAGTGAAGCAGCTATAAATGCACTGATGGAACAAAATGTATGCATTTTTATCACATCTGGTCAGTGTGGTGTGTTGAAGAATCTTGATAAAAGTGCTGCCAGAGGATAACAGAATGGCAGTTATGCCTTATAAGGTTGATGCAAGTTGTATGTGCCCAGCAGTGGCATAGCACGCCTTCAATTATTTACCACCATTCACTGAGGAGCTGCTGGTAGAAACCAAGCAACAGGAAATGTAAACCTTGACCCTTCCCCCATAAGTACAGTTTACAGATGCGTTTGCATGTACATGTTCTCACATTCACCTTATACATGCCGTATACCCACAGAATCGCACAGTCAATACAAGATGACCGTACTTAGGCTCAAAGGCAGCAGATATGTTGCAGTCTTCAGGGTTTGTGGGTTTCAGTGCGAGATGTTCTCTAGCAGCTGGTGTTTGTGATTTTTCTGAAATGTTCCCAGAAATATTACTGCCAGGGCTTGCATGCTGTCCCCAATGTGCTGTCATATCTGAGATTGTCAGTGGCACAGAAGCACATCTGTGGAAGCATGCATCAGAACTGATAGTTCTAGAAGAACACAACTACAAATCCAATCTCATGCCTCAGTGCCTGGCCTAGTGCTTCTCGTGGCTGTTTCCGTCACACATGAGTTCTTTTATCATATTGTCGGAAACCTCCCTTGCACCCTACTTTGGTGACTTGTTAGCTGCGCAACCTAAACAAGGATTTGTAGGTGGTGGCAACCCTAATACTTGTGATTTTTAAAATTATTATTATTATTATTATTATTGTGTTGTTGTTGATGCTTTTATGCACTTAGGTGGATCTCAGATGAGTTCTACTTTTGAGACCTGTGTTTTAGTCCCACTGGTGGAATGTATTGTGTGTAGCTTTCACTCCTGAGTAGACCTGCTCATGTTGTACCAGGATTGGAGTATTTCCTAGTAATACAGCATCAACCCAACTGGTTCTCCATGGGTGTGGTACAGTCTAACAGCAATCATGTCATGTAGGGATGCCCCAATATAGGAACTTGTGGCCCATGCCAACGATGGTTGGGCTGTGTAATGGTATAAGGTATAGAATGGTAGTTAAAAATGAACATTATGACCGTGTCAAATTTTTCTTCCATGTCTGTCTAGTAAATGGCCAAATAAACACATTCCACCCAGTCATATCCAGGGAAGGAAACATGCACTTTCAGTTACTCAGAATCAAGCCTGCACTGTGGTGTGTGGCATATTCACAAAGCAATGACTGGCTAGTTTTACAGAACCAAACATCGCATGTTTAATATTCATTTCTGTCCACACAAGTAACTAACTTGTCTTCACTCCCTCAGATTTAAGCCATTATCATCTAAACTTGTCTGGTGTTCTTCAATTAGCCAGATTCATACCTGTTCTGTGGTGAGCACAGCTGTTGTCATTAGCTAAGCTAACGCTACCCAGCAGCATTGTTTTAACATTTTGTCAGAGGTTGTTGGACAGGCGTTTTGACATGTATAGAATGATGGATTGAAATTAGAATCAAACTGATTTTGAAATGAAGACACAAAATTGACATAAATGCCTTTACATGGTTTACAGTGCTTCTATGCATTTTTACGCTTTTTTATGCACTGGTATTACTGTATACTGTGGGAGTATTTGGAGGTTGTTTTAAGGTATGAAAAACGTGGGTATTGCCCAATCATAATACAGATGTCCAGTGTTTCTCATTAACATATTTCCTGATGCTGACACACACATTTCCAAATGTAGAAGTCAGAACTAGATCCACCTCAGTTCTCATTACAGAGAAATATTGTACCTATTTGTAGAGGGTTACAAATGCGTTTTTATTTTGAAGCAATTGCTTAGCCAGTACCCATATGATCCTGATACTATCGGCATCCATAATGTCAAGAGAAGTTTCGGTGGTTTTGAATGAAAGCATATCCAAGAGTCCGACCACTCTGGTGGTGCAGTCGCTCAACGAGACACAACACTGGGGAGTGGCTGCTTTTTGGGGAGAAAATGAACAGGAAAATTATATTTCATTAATAATGAAGGAACATTTTCCATTACAAATGTAGTACATTTCTGTTTATTCAGTTATGCAGTATGAAGATTGTACTTTTGCATTGTTGTAGAAGCTGCTAACATTTTTTATTTGTTGCCCAAAATGTTTTCAGGCACTCCAACATATCACCTCCCTCCTGTGAAAGCCCCAGTTGGATCAAAAAAGAAGACTTCAAAGCACTGCTTCATGTGTGGGAAGAAGACTGGGCTAGCCACCAGCTATGAATGCAGGTACTTACCTAAGGCTACAGGGAGATGTTGTTAAGTCTTCTGTGCTCCATTGTGCAGTTCTTGCTTGACCTGGATAGGCAAGAGCTCTTAGTCTAAGCAGGGTATCTTGGTGTTTTGATCAGAATGATAAAGTGCTCTTTTTGTTTCAGTGGTAAGCCAGGTTTCCTTCTGGAACTGCTGGAACTCTTTAATATGTAAAGTCCGCAGGATTTCTTTTCAAACAAAGGATACATCATGTATTTTAGTCTCACTTCTCCATGATTATCTTGCAGCTGCCTTTGTAGAGAAAGTCTGTTGTTTTGATATGCAGAGTATCTCGGAGCAGGGGTGTTTCTTCTGCTCCGAGATGCTTTTTGAAGGCATGTCTCTCTGTTCTGGCATTGTCAGGTATGATGTCATCCCTGGCTGGCCCCGATCTTTTTGTCGCTCCAGTGCCAGCACCCCTAATGCGCAGAACCTTATGATTCAACTCTGGCATATTTTCTTGAAAGGCATATTTTTACCGTTCAGTCTGTCAGATGCCACATGGCCTATTTTGCCTGTTAAACTGAAACCCTTCTTTTTTTAGAATGACTTGAGTTTTGTTAGATATCTCAAAGCAGGCTACAGATAAAGATGCCAAGTGAATGGCTATTTAAGAAGCGTTAAACTTTGTCATCTTAAATCCCCAGAACAAAGAGTAATCCTGGATGACTCAAGAGCTAACTGTACTGCAAACTGTTTCGTCTTGGTTACTCATTGATTTCTGGTTACTTATTATCTTTACGGCATTCCCCCTTAATTAAATTCTAAATTCAAACAGCATTTGACTACTTAAGAAATTTGTTCGATTGAACATTTGTTGTTTAGTAGTGATACATGAGCTGACACTCATTTAAACATAACACAACAAAGATGTGCTGGACTTAGTATAGACTACTTTCTCCATTAATTCTTCTTGGTGTCCTAATGCTTTTGTATCTCTCCTGATGAAGTCCCTCTGTTTCCTTGACTAAGGTGTGGCAACAACTTCTGCTCCACGCACCGCTATGCAGAGACCCACGACTGCACTTACGACTATAAAAGTGCAGGCCGCCGTTTTCTACAGGAGGCTAACCCCATCATTAGTGCACCAAAGCTGCCCAAAATATGAAGGCACTAAGTGGACGATTCAAGAGGGAATATGAGATACTCATTAAAAGCGATTAAAACAGCAAGAACTTATCACCAGTGTGTGCTTTTATCACCATGCTTGCTTATCTGTCAAGGATCCTATATATAGAAAGAAACCTAAAAATAGCACACGCTTTTTTTTAAGCAATTACTTTTTGCACAAATGTGATTTTTTATTTTATTTATTTTTTGTTTAATTTTTTCGTTTTCTCCACTCTGTTTTTACTTCACATACGGTAAGAAAAACAAAAAAGAACCTGGCATGAAAAATAGGTTGATTTCTAAATGTTTCCATTACACTACAAACTTTTAAATATAATGCATGACTTTAAGTATATATGTATATATATTTTGTTGTTTGTTTGATTCATAAAATTGGAGAGATGATGTCAAGAGACAAATCTTTGAGAGATGCACTTTAGAAATAATGAATATTTCATGGAAAATGGGTTGACTGAATTATGTGTTTTTGTGATGAAGTGTTATGTTGACTGTTCGAGTGTCCCAATATTCAACAAATCATCTTTTTCTTTCTCTGAATTGGTTCATTTCAGGCCTACAGCACTCTACTCGACATCATACCAGGTACTATACATCTATGATAAAATAAGATATCTGTCTAATCTTGGGTTTTAGTTTGAATGCAAGTATGCAAGTTATACATGTTTGTCAGCTATAAACACCACTATGCAGTATGGCCACGTAGCATTCTTAACTATTTTCAGAAGGGCTTGCTATGGTAAGATGTGGACACTTAGCTGGTTGCCATTGTGAAGGTTCCTTTTTTACTGTCATTTTTTTGAATAATTGCACAGTCAGCAGTTGCTTAAAGTTTTCAGTATTTATTTGGGGATCCAACTAATAAAATATACCTGTGTTTCCTTAGATGTGGTGTTGTTGTTTGAGGGGTTTCTGTTTCTATTTTAGCTGCTTTCTTGTGGGTGTTGTGTGTTGTGTGCAAAATATGTTTGTCAGTTAGGACACACTTCTCTAATTTGTTAGCTTCCGTTTAACCTGTTCAACAAAGGTCATGACTGCCACAGGACCCCTACCGAGCAAGAATTGTTTGGGTGGTGGATTGTTCTCAGCACTGCCGTGACATGGTAGGTACATGTTAGTTCGTGGTTGCGCTGGTATGAAAGGATCACACAGCAGTTCTGCTGGAGTTTTTAAACACTGCTTCCACTTACTGTCCACTCTGTTAGACACACCTACCTTGTTGGTCCACCTTGCAGATGAAATGTTCGAGACGATAGCTCATCTATTATTGCACAAGTTGTGTAGGTCATAGTCACCGCATGCTGTTGGCTGGGTGTTTTTGTTTGGTGGACTGTTCCTAGTCCAGCAGTGACAGTAAGATGTTTAAAAACTCGAGCAGCACACACACCAGCTACCATGTCAGTGTCACTGCAGTGCTGTGAATGATCTCCCACCCAATTAATACCTGCTCAGTTGTGTAGGGTCCTGAACATTGAGTCCATCAGAGAAACAAATGGACTACAATCTATAACTATAGAACTAGTAAAGTGCATTTACAGTCAGGTCCATAATATATTTGGATGTTGACCATACTGTTATTTTAGCTGTCTAACAGCATATTGGTGTTAAATAATGAATAGGAGCTCATTGTACAGAATTTCTATATTTTGATGGCATTTACATCCTGATTGGGTGAACAATGAATCACATTTCATATTTTGGGCTCAAAAGTAATTGGACAAACAATCATAAATCAGATTGTTTGTTTAACACTACTAATACTTAATCTTTGCAGTCAATGACAGCCTGAAGTCTGGTGCTCATAGGCATCACCGTACACTGTGTTTTCCTCCTTGGTGATGCTTTGCCAGGCTTTTACTGCAGCTTCAACTTCTGCTTGATCTTGGGGTGTTTTACCTTCAGTTTTGCCTTTTAGTAAGTGAAATGCATGCTTGGTTGCATTGAGGTCAGATGACTGACTTTCCACTTATTTACCTAAAAAAAAAAAAAAAATCTTGGGTTGCTTTCGCAGTACGCTTCATTGACATTGTACATCTGCACTGTGAAGCGCCACCCAAAGAGTTTTGAAGCATTTGGCTGAATTTGAGCTGATAATGTAGCCCTGTACACTTCAGAATTCATCCTCACATCATCAATAAATATCAGGAAACTAGCTTCATTTGTGGTTTTAAATACCCACGTCATAACACTGCCTTTACCATGCTTGACAGATGAGGTGATGCACTTTGGATGATAAGCAGTTCCTTTCCTTCTTTATACTCTTCCCATCATTCTGGTACAAGTTGATCTCTGTCTCTCCTATCCATAAGATGTTCCAGAATATGCAGGCTTTTTATGTTTTTGGCTAACTCTAATTTGGTTTTTCAGTTTTTAAGGCTTACCACTCTTGTGGTAGACCCTCTGTTTCATTCTGGTGAAGTCTTCTCTTGATTGCTGACTTTTACACAGAACGTCTACCTTTTAGAGTTTGCTCTTGATCTGGCCAGCTGTTGTGAAGGGGTGTTTCTTCACCACGGAAAGAATTCTTCTGTCATCCAACAAAGTTGTTTTCAGTGGCCTTGTTGTTGTGTGTGTGTGTGCGGGCATTCTTTTTTTCTTTCTTTTTTGAACCAGATTGTTGGTTTGGCCACACCTAATGTGTTTTCTGTCTCTCTGATGGGTTTGTTTTGATTTTTCAGCCTAGTGATGTCTTGCTCTTGGGGATACATATTCAGAGTTAACAGTAACAGATTCCAAATCCAAATAATCTCCAAATCAACTTCAGATGGTTTATCTGCTTAATTGTGAATGAAATAATTAGGAACAACTGACCATGGAGTAGCTGAGTGCAGCTAAGTGTCCAGTTACTTTTGAGCATGTTTAAAAATAAAAACTTCCATCCACTTTGGATGTAAATACCCTCAAATTATACCTGGAAAGCTGCACTTTGAGCACATATTCATTGTTTAATTTCAAGTCCAATATCCTGTGGTAGACAGCTAAAATAACAATAACTTTGACAATGTCCAAATATTTCTAGACCTGACTTTATATGGTAATTATATAAGTGGACCCGAGTGGTAAAATTGCAAAATGGACAATGAGTGTAGATACAAGGACTCCAATAAAGTGGAGTTAGTTTTTTGCTGTTCAATTGAAAGGGGCAATATTTGAATGATTCATGCTGTCTTTATCAGTTTTATACACTTTGTTATATTTGATACCGTATATCCATATCCTAAAACCTTATTCATTTATAGGATGATTTAATTCTGCTTTGAGTGCACAGTTAGCTTGGGTGTTTAAAAATTCTTTTTAAAGTATTACATGACTTCATTTAACCTGTGCAGGACATTTTCTTTTTGAAAATGGTAATAGTTACCTCTTGTAATCGTCCTTCAGACTGTTCTGAATGTGAGTTTTCTTTGGGCAGTTTTAAATTAGGCCTTACCCACATGTACCTCAGATAAGATCCTCAAATGGACCAAGGAAACTGAGAAAGCTTTCCTGCTCTAAGTAATCTAAATGTTTTGCAGAAATTACGATCTTTTTCCGATCTACCCTGGGCAGCGAGCTGAACTGTTTTCAGGAACGTTTCTTAACTCATGCTAAAAATGTTCCGTTAATTTACCTACAGTTGTTCAGCACAGTTTGTACTGGTGTATTCCATTGTTTGTACTGTTGTTCATTAATAATCTTGGTGACTGTTTCTGACGCCCTTGACTACTACAGGTTCCTGGTGGGTAGTGCTTGCCTTATGTAATCCAGATAATCCAGAAATGTCATAATCTGATAACACGGACAGCCAATAACACTTCATGCCACTATGTTGTGATCAGATAGCCTAGAGGCGCATGCCTTTTCAGTGCATTCTTCATAGAATACATGAACATGTACTTGCTAAAAAAAAAAACAAACACTTTAAACAGATTCAAAATCCTGGATGGGGGAGGTTATAGAACGAATACTCTCTTTCTGACAGTAGCTCACATAAAGCTGTAGATGGTATACAGTGTGGTTCATGGGAGTTAAAGAAGGCTGCAGAAGTCTTTGAATGCAGTAGACAGAAGCTCAGTGAGTGGGATCTAGTTGTGACTATGCCAGTAAGAATTCTGTGATTTATTTTACTGTAGCAACTCAGCCAGTGGGAGATGCACAATTCTTTTGTATTCTTGTACTCTTGTATTCTCATATAAGCATTAATTATTTGTAGTTTCTACTCTTAACAAAGACTTCTCCCCATTATATTTACATTTTACCTGCTCAGCTTAGTCATGAAAGTTGATATCTAATGAAAATGCATGTCCTTGTGGAAACAAGCCGATCAACACAAACTCGCTTAACAGGTTGATTATCTCTGCATGTCCAAACACACGCACCGCTTCAACACGAACAGGCATCTTTTAGGTGTTTTTTTGAAGAGTGAATCATGTGTCCTCCATCTGCGATTCATGAAGGACAAATGTTGCATAATAATGAACCGAGCCCATTGTTTAAACCCATCAAACCCTCAGTGCGCAAGTTGATAAAACAAGCATTTAGAGAAGCACTGTGTATAAAGCCTGAATTTCACAAAGCCCGACACATGGCCTTTAGCGATTCCTTCCCTCTGCCATGGCCCACACAATGCAAACACACAGACGTTCTGTTGTATTCCCCCAGAGAGGCAGAGAAGAGCAGGGAATAAAAATGTAACCTTGCATAACAAACAGACTACTGGGTCCCAAGGAACAGGGGGAGCTTTAATGCTGGTGGCTATTCACTCACTCTCTAAAATCCATTGTTAATGATAAGAGTGCTAAGGATGGAACATAAATCACGTAAATAATCACAATAATCAATCACTGTAGTAAAAAGAATCAGTAAATCACATTCCGAATAATGAGTTATGACTGGTTCTTAGTCCTGCTAGTGGACCACCACAGTCTTTTCCCCTGTAAGCTGGATAGGGCATTTTTCTTGTCTTTTTGTTGTTTCTGTTTATGATATTTGTGTGGTTTTGTATACCAATTCATAATTTTTACATGAATGTTTTCCAACCTCTCTTCCGTGAACTTGGCCTGCGCCTTTAAGACTGATATACATCAAAGAGCTTTGCTCTGATTCTCCTCCCTGCATTGTGGCACTCATTCAAGCAGCAGTCCAGACTGAACCACTCTTTATAACTTCATCACAAATGGGTAAGGCTAAAGTAGTGATGGTAGAATCCAGTGTAACAATCCATATCCAGTAACCCTGATTTTCTTTGTTTTTTTTTGTTCTTGGAGAAGCACCGAAATGCTTTAAAACCCAGAACTCAGCCCTGCCCTATTCCTAGTGTGAATGCCTCAGCAGCATGCATGAATGACATGAAAAAATAGGTTAAGCTCAGTAGAATAGATTTTATACCTTGGTAAATCCACAACATACAACTTTTTAAGGAGCTCTATTCTGAGCACATATATGTCATGTCTAGGAGTGAAACTGAATACATTTTGCTTTCAACTGAACTGTCAGTTTGCACCAAATGTATACTAAAGTATCTTGATACCATCAGTCTATGTGGTGGCAGGTGATGTGTGAAACTTGGTTTTTGAAACTTCTGATCAGAAGAGTTGATTTATTTTGTTCCAGTGATTCAGTATGAGCATCACTGGTATTTGCAGCTGGACTGGGGAGTGAACAGTGTGGTTTTGAAACATTGCACTCCTTTGTTCAAAGGGTCCACATCATACATTCTTTTTACATGTTGTTTTCCCTGAGGTCATCCCATTTGTGTGGTTTATTGTACCAAAAACAGTTGTAATTAATTTTTACATGACTCCTTTTCCAACCTCTTTGAACCTCTTTCTAATTAAACAGGTTGTTTTTGTAACTGTGCCATTATATGTAAATACATAAGCGCTGATTGGCTCTCCTCTATTGAGCCTAATTCAAAAAGCATCCAAACTGAATGCTAAATTTCCTTCGGGGTCAATAAAGTATCTATCTATCTATCTATCTATCTATCTATCTATCTATCTATCTATCTATCTGAAACACTCCTTATAACTTCAGTGTTAATGGGCAGAGCTAAACGTTTGTGAACCTTTAGAAAACTGAAAACAGTGAACTCAAAAGGGGCTGTTTTGCAGCTTGGTTTGCATATATGGACTGGGGAGTGAACAGTACAGTTTTGCAATGTTTACATCAAACTTTTTAGCTTAAAAAAGTGAGAAAAAAATCATCATATGGGCCTTTAAAAAAGTGAGGAACTTTGTCTTACCGAAATACAGGCCCTTTAAGCAACCAGTCCCTGACTTGAAGACTAACCCCTCGTTTCCTAACTCCAGTCCTGGAGGCACTGCAGTTTTAGCGTTTTCCCTGTAACCTAGCACCATCTGAGCTGACCAGATAATAAAATTCTTCTTGAGCCGAATCAGGTGTGTCTGAGCAGGTAGATTAACAGGACTTAAGTTGGGAAACCACTGCAGTCACAGAACTGATGCTCTGTAGTGCGCATGCGCGACAGCCTCACTCCCTCACATCCAGTGTTCGAGCTACACTATCGCGGAAGTCAGAGACATGACGCATGCAGTCAGATGGGCAGTCAGAAATAAACAAACCATCGGAACAATAAGGTGAGTAAGCTAACAATGATTTCACACCGACTGATCGCGCATTTCAAGCGGGACCATTTACTTCTGTTTTCCCCTTTTTTTCCTCCATGTTTCACACATCACCGTACACCATTCTAAATGCCCAGTGTGAAATGATGAAGCTGAAGGCAGCTTCTTAATCGCCTGCTTGTTGTTTGAAATTGTCCACGTTCCACCTTAAATGGTGCAGCGGTAGCAGTAACTGCTGCGCCATTTAAGGTGGAACGGAAATAATTCGAATATGAAGCTGACTTAAGCTTCGCAGTGAAATGACAGCCAGTGCTTTCGGATTTTAAACGCCAGTAGGTCCTGCTGGAAGTTGGAATTTGGTCTCTTAAAGATTTGGTGTTCGTTCAGGGCTTCTCACACGGCGAAACGCTGCTTTTCTCATGAAGCTGTATTGTAAGACACTCGACTGCAGCCGCAAAACCGAAGCTCAACAGAGCAGCAGCTGCTTTATTCAAACACAAACAACATTCATCTGCTGAAACGCTCTTATCGGTCATCATCGATAGACTCCACTTCCATTTTCTCCATTTCCTTTGAATAGACTCGCTAGACTTGTTAGCCTTCTGCCAAACCTCACTGACAATATCTGATTAGCGGCGAAGGCTGCAATACAAAGCGTCCCTGTACAGACGGCGTTTGTGTTGAAACGCTTGATTTAATTGAATGTGCTAAATTCACGGCGAAGATATCTCGCTGTGAGACACCGCGGATAAAATCCAGAGCGCTGGACTGACTGACAACCGAGTAAGTGTCCATATCACTTCAGTGAAGTCGTATCTACAGGCTTACAGCACCAAGTGACCCAGACTAACAGACTAACGACATCGAGGAGAGCGGTGTGCCGCTAACGTTACTGCAGCCCCTGATGTTGGTACGTCTGTCTTGCTGTATGGATTACATCTCGCCCTGGTCTGTAGGCTGCTTACAGTAACGACCTGCTGCTCTACACGTTCTCGGGCAGTGTTTTATTCCTCAGCAGCGCTGTGTCAGGATAAAGAGTCCGCGTCTCAGGTTTGGCCAGTTTGTTTTTTCTTTGTCGTTGAATAGCTCAGCAGTAGTAGCTCGCGTTGCTGGGCAGGAGCGGCACTTGCATGTTAGCTCAGCCTCAAACGAAGAACATGCTGTGAAAACGCTGGGCTTACTGTTGGCTTAACGCAGCTTTTTCGGGCGCAGTGTTCAGCTCTCGGCGCTTTGACTCGGTTTAATGCTTAATGCACTGCTATGCGATGATATAGCGTCTGTTAAACTGTAGAGGATTATTCCTGATGTTTGTCTTCGTCACTAGTTTCTTTTGCTGCCTATCTTTGATTACTTTTAGCTTTTTTTGCTATATTTTTAGCTTTTCTTTTATTTGTTCTTTTATTCATTTGTTTTTATCTTCATAAAACACATTTATTTGTTTACTTTTGTAGGACTGCTAACTTGTTTCAGCTTCTAAATGAATAGCTTGTCCTGTGAATCTTGCACAATATCCTCTCGCTCTGCCATGTCATTGTTTTTTATATAATCTCCTCTTCCTTACTCCTGGATGTGGTTGCATTCTAGGACTTGCTATTTGTGACCCTTTGGAGACCCCCTTGTATTTGTGGACATGCTGTTCAGTGTTTCAAGGGTCCATATCATAAAAATATGAATTACCTCTCTGTTGTTTTGAAATAAGAGATTGATGCAATATGTAAACGTAACGCTCACTCCCCTGTCCAAACAGTAGAGGAAACTAAGCTGCAAAAACAACCCATTTTGCATTCATTGTTCTTGTGATGTCACAAAAACCAACACATTTCTCCTACATTTACATGTTGGCGGTAGACGGATGATGGCAAACCAGATATTTTATTGTTTTCAGTGGAATTGTGTTTCGTTGTTGCCACCATCAGCAGCAACATTAAAGCTACACTATGTAAATTTTGGGGAATTTGGAGACCTCTCTGGTGGAAATGTGTAATTACACGCAATGTGCAAAAGAACATTTTGTAACGATGGTTGTGCTTTGGACCCCTTCCCAGAGCGTTTGAGTCCTCAGTCAAAACTTGGTGAAAGATGTGTCTTCGGAGGATGTAAGTGAATTATCTACTCTTGTCATCACATCTATATCAGTGTAATGTTGATTTTGCATTTGAGGCCTAACTATTGAGCTGGACCTTCTTTTTGAGCCTGTGCGTGTGAAGTTAATATGTAAAGATGTATGTCTGAACAATTTCCCCCAAAGTTCGACATCTCTGAGTTTTAAATTACTATTTCAGGCTTTACAGGATGACTCACAGCAATGCACGCACACCTGCTTTAGAAATGCTGTTTTTTTGAACAAAAAAAAACATAATGTAGCTTTAAATAATACAGAGCCTCTTGACTTTTTCCAGCTTAAATAAACCATATATACTAAAGCTAAAGCTCTTCTCTGATACTCATCTATTTTCATGTTTCATTGTCACCATGCCAACATTTGGATGGCTTCATGCCGTTGTTGGCTGTGTGCTGCAGTGAGGCACGGAATGTTTTTTTAATGCCAACATGTAAATGAAGCATTACATACATCTGCCTATTAAGCCTACAGCAGTGTAGTCTAACTCATTTATATTAAAGTTATTAGGAGTGGGTGCGCACCATTTACCTGTACTGGCTTGCTGCTGTTTATGTGGAAGCAAGGGTGTAGAAACCTGTTTAGATGGAGTGTCAGTGGCACTTAAGCTGTCTCTTACAAAAACTATTGTGTAGCCTATTTAATCTATAATTAAAAGAAAACTGTCCTTATTATGTAGCTGTCCTTATTGAGGATAAAAAGTACGTTTTAATTTTAACGTTCTTTGCCAGGGTTTTCCTTGATTTCCCCCATGATGTTTGTTATGTTGGGACACAGATTTGCCAACTGTGGAGCTTTTGGGCGGCGAAATGCTTCAGATTTGAAGTGGAAACCACGCCTACATGCCAGAACTGGCACTCGTCAGGCAGATACTGGGACGCATCCAGTGTTTCAGCACAGACTGCTTTTTGAATGAGGCGAAATACAGAGCAGGCAATCAGAATACACTCTTATGGAAAAACTGGGCCAAGCACAAAATAATGTCTTTTGTTTATGGTTTTGGCCTGGTCCAGATTTAAACCCGATAGAGAATATTTGGTCTCGCATTAAACACAAACTAGCTTGGCAGTGTTTTCAGCTGTTTGATGAGTGAAACAATACTGACTCTTCATTCTGTAAAAAGGTTGTCTGCAAGTTTACCCACGAGACTTCAACATTTAAAGAAATCAAAGTGAAAAGCTAGGCCATACTAACTTTGTTAAATGTTTGCCCATTCTGGGCCCATTTCTTGTAGTGTAGAAACCATTTACATATATCAGTCTGAAAGGCTAAGTAATAAAAGCTTGTTTAATTCTGAGGGATAAAGAGAGGTTGTAAATGGTGGTGTGAAAAGAAAAAATACAATTGATGGTACACACACCCACAGAAAAGTAATGAGTGGACCCCTGAATAAAAAATAAATGCAAGAAAAATCTAGGATTTGGGCCTTGTAAACATTTTTTTACCCTCATAATTTGTAGGTACAGATTTCTGTCAGCAGGCTGAACTTTGTACTTGGTCAGCTTACTGTGCTCATTTTTCATCTTGAACCTGTTTAGCATATTCCACACCAACGTGTTAAAAGGAAGTACGCTGACGTGATTGAGATGAGAGACATATTCTAAGAGCTGGTCAAAACTGGTAGTATATGCAAATTTGCACATTTTTTCTGAGGTTTACTGGAGGCTTTGATACATCAGGGCTTGTACTGTAAAGCTGATTCATGGCCATACTTTCAATCAAAAATCTTGCTGGAGGGGAAAAGGAACAGGCTATATCTGTCCTGTTGTATTTCACAAGAAGAGAAACAATAGCTAGAGGCTCTTTAGAACGGAATGTATTCATGTGTTACATCAGACTTTAAGTTTAGTCATCTTTGCGATGAAATCAAGGGCTTTTCTCCTCACTGGCACTTCTCCTCCCTGTTTAGGGTCAGTACGGACAGCTGTGGGTCTTGTGGCCTGTGTGAAGTCTCTGAGAACATGGTATATCTGCCATCCCTGTAAATGATCGGCCACGTTGTCTTAGACATTCTTTCTTCAGACACTGTGTTCTCAGGGTGGGTCCCATGTAAAAATTAGGCTGACTGCTCTCAGCTGTATTGCACTCGAGCTGAATGGAGTCACCTCTTCTGCTCTAGTTTTTTAATAGGATGAGCAGCACTATCACTGACTGTCCGCAAGATAATCCTTATAGCTAAATACATCCGCATCGCTTGAAAATATCTCTGCTGTGCATGCCTTCCATTTTGCCATAACAAATGAACAATGCACTGCATTGTTTTTTTTTAATTCAGTTAATTTAATCTGTTATTTCTAAAAGCAACTGATAGGCTAAAAGTAAAAATCAGTCAACAAAGTAGCCAAATGCCTGCTTCTAATTGTTGCTCCCAGAGTTGTTTTCCTTGGTACAAAAGGAAACCAGCTCTGCCAGGAAACCAAGTGAAGGCTGTGTTTCTGTTGGTACAATTACTAATAATAGCTTTTGCTATTTGATAGGCACTTCTTGAGAACAATCAGCACTACAGTATAATAACAGTACTTTTAATAGTTTTTATTTATTTTTTAATAATGACCGTAGTGAAGTGATTGGTTATTGTACCGGTGCATTATTTCAGGTGCCTAATACCTGTCATGCTGTGGGACTTTGAATAATCGAAAAGCATTGAATAATTATTTCTTTTGCAATAGATGAGGTGTTAGTTTGGCAGAATAATGCATAGAATATCGCATCGCTGATGCAGAGTCTGTTGCGCTGTCGTTCATTTTAAGGCTGAGCAGATGTGGCAGCGCAGCCTTGTGTCAGCAGTGTAGAAAAATGGCATCTGCAACTTATCTAGTTTGCATGTCTCTACTGGCTCGGTGCTTCCCTTACGCTGCGAAATGTTTTTGAGAAGAAGCATTCCAGCGTGTCT